CCCTGTGTCTCCTTGTGTCCCTGATGTCCCCCCTGTCCCCGTGTCCTCACTATCCTTGTGTCACCATGTTCCCCATATCCCTGATGTCCCCGTGCCCCTGTCCCCAGGGCACCTACGCCACGGTGTACAAGGGCCGCAGCAAACTCACCGAGAACCTGGTGGCCCTGAAGGAGATCCGGCTGGAGCACGAGGAGGGGGCACCGTGCACGGCCATCCGCGAGGGTGAGGGGCACGGGGGGGCCTGCACGAGGGTGAGGGGCACGGGGGGGCCTGCACGGCCATCCACGAGGGTGGGGGGCACGGGGGGAGGGGACCCTATGAAGGTTGGGGGGCCATGGGGGTCCCTCACAAAGGTGGGGGGCAGAGGAGGGCTGGGGGGAGTCTGAGGGCAGGGGAGCAGTGTGGGAGCTGTGGGACATCAAGAGGGGGACACTGGGGGGGCTGGGTGGAAATGGGAGGGGTGGTTTGGGAGGTCTGGGCGTGGTTCACACGAGGGCTGAGGCCCCTTACTCTCATGTGTCCCCCCACCCTGTGTCCCCCTTTCCGTGTGTCTCCCCCTGTGTCCTCTCTGTGTCCCCACCATGTCCCTGTGCTCCCCCCCCGTGTCCCCCCCAGTGTCGCTGCTGCGGGATCTCAAACACGCCAACGTGGTGACGCTGCACGACATCGTCCACACGCCCCAGTGCCTCACCCTCGTCTTTGAGTACCTGGTCAGCACCTCTAAAACCCTTCTGGGACCCCCAAAATACCTCTCCCTGCCCTTCCAAACACCCCTGGTCTCCAAAATTTCATGCTGGGACCCCAATCCTGTCCCTGCACCGTGGTTCACTCCCCTGGACACTTGGAGCCCTCCCAGGTTCCCCCTCAAGGACCTCTGTCTTCCCTAGGGGTCCTCCCAAATCCCCATCGACCCCCCAGATCACTGTAGGGCCCTCCCAAATACTCCATTGACCTCCCCAGTTGCACCCAGGGCTCATTAAAACTCTCCAGCACCCCCCAAACCCTCCCCCCCAGACACCCATAACCCCCCACCCGATGCCCCCAGGACCCTCCAAATTCCCCATGGACACCCCTCAGGAAGTCCAGGACCCCCTCCCCCCAACTGCCCCATTTTAGGGTCCCCCTGTCCCCCCCTCCAGGATCGGGATCTCAAGCAGTACCTGGACGACTGTGGCAACGTCATCAGCATGCACAACGTCAGGGTGAGGGGTCTGGGGGGTTCATCAGCATGCACAGGGTCAGGGTGAGGGGTCTGGGGGGGTTCATCAGCATGCACAGGGTCAGGGTGAGGGGTCTGGGGGGGTCATCAGCATGCACAATGTCAGGGTGAGGGGTTTTGGGGGTCATCAGCATGCACAGGGTCAGGGTGAGGGGTCTGGGGGGATCATCAGCATGCACAGTGTTGGGGTGAGGGGTTTGGGGGTCATCAGCATGCACAGTGTTGGGGTGAGGGGACTTTTGTGGGGGGGACTCATCACAGTCTTTGTAGGGGTGTAGGGGAAGGTTAGGAGGGTGCACAATGTCGAGGTGCAGGGTTAAGGAGGGCTGGGGGGGTGAGAGGGTGTGTGAGGGGTCTGGTGTCTCCCAGGAGGGTGGGGGGTGTTTAGGACTTGTTTATGGGGGTTTGTACCCATGGAGGGACCAGAATCGTGCTGGGGGTGTGCAATGAGTGTGCCCTGAGCATGCAAGGCCCATTTTTGGGTGGGGGGCAGCTGTTCCTGTTCCAGCTGCTGCGGGGCCTCGCGTTCTGCCACCGGCACAAGGTGCTGCACCGTGACCTCAAGCCCCAGAACCTCCTGCTCAGCCGCCGCGGGGACCTCAAGCTCGCCGACTTCGGTCAGGGGACGCCAAAAATGTGCCCTGGGACCCCAACTTCTCCCCTGGAACCCTCAATACCCTCCCTGCTCCTCCTTCCTAAGGATACCCCAAATCCTTGTCCCTGCACTCCTAAAATAAACGTGGTGTTTATCGAAACACAACCTGAGACCCCCAAAAGTCTCCCATCTCCAGGTACTGGATTTCTCTAGGACTGTCTTGGAGACCTTTGTGGGGATGCTGATTTCCTCCTAAGAGACCCTAATTATCCCACATGACCCCGTTTGCTTCCCCAGAGGCCCCACTTTTACTTCCAGGGACCCCCAGAACCCCCTTAGGGGTCATCATTGCCTCATCTGGACTCCTCTGCAGACCCCACTTTTCTCCTCCAGGGACTCCCATTACTCTTGGATAACGGGAGCCCCCTTGGGAACCCCAATTCCCTCCCCCACCCAGGGACCCCAGCCAACCCCAGGAGCCCCTTAGGGGCCTCCACTGCCCCCCCTCTGAACCCTTCTGGGGACCCTGACCCCCCCTGTCACCCCCCAGGCCTGGCCCGAGCCAAGTCCATCCCGACCAAGACGTACTCGAGCGAGGTGGTGACGCTGTGGTACCGCCCGCCCGACATCCTGCTGGGCTCCACCGAGTACTCCACCCAGATCGACATGTGGTGGGTGCAGGGGGGGCACAGGGTGGGGGGCACAGGGACCTGCCTGGCTCCAGGAGGGGTTTGCTCGCAGGGCTCTCACGCACGAGGGTCTCGCACGAGTTGAGGGGGGGCACGGCCTGGGGGTCCCGAGTGAGCACCACGAGCCCTGGTTGGGGGTGGGAGGTCTCTGGCACGAGGGTCTCGCTGGGAATGGGATGTTTTTTGGGGGGGATGTGGGTGTTTCTTGCCTGAGGGTCTCTCTGGGCGCAGGGGCGTTGGCTGCATCTTCTCGGAGATGGTGACGGGGCGGCCGCTGTTCCCCGGAGCCACCGTGGAGGAGCAGCTGCACTTCATCTTCCGACTACTGGGTACGGGGGACGCCGGTTTGGGGGCAATTCATGGGGGTTTGGGCAAATCTAGAGGGGCTTGGAGTGAACCTGGGGGCACTGGGGGCAAATCGGAGTGTTTGGGGTAAAGATGGGGAGGAATAAAGAGGCTTTGTGGGGGATAAATGGGTTTTTTTTGGTGGGATTGGGGCAAATTCAGAGGTTCTGTGAAAATTTGGGGGGAACTGTGGAGAGTTGGGGAAAATCTGGGGGTTTGGGGCAAATTTTAGGGGAGTTGCAGTAAATTAAGGGAGTTGAGGAAATCTAGGGGATTTTAATCAGAGTTGGGTGGAAATTAGGGGTTTGGAATAAATTTGGGAGAGTCAGGGGCTTGGGAGAAATGAAATGGTTTTGGGATAATTGAAAAGAGTCTGGGGTAATATGAGGAGCTTTGAGAAAAATTAAGGGGCTTGGGGAAAATTAAAGGGGTTGGGGTTGAATAAAAGGTTTTGGGGTAATTTTGCAAGTCCCTGGAATCGGAAGGTTGTGGGGGACGATCCAAGGTTTTGGGGGACTAAGGGGAATGCTGGATCGATCCCCTGGGATTTTGAGGGTGAGGGGTCAGTTGAGGGGGTGCTCAGTGGGGTTTTGGGGACCCCTGACCTTCCCTTTTTCCCCCCCAGGGACCCCGACGGAGGAGACGTGGCCGGGGATCGGGGCCAACGCTGAGTTCCGGGCCCACAAGTACCCGCTGTACCCGCCCGAGGGGCTGCGGCACCACGCCCCACGGTGGGGGGCACGGGGGAGGGCTGCCAGAAAGTGGGGGTTCTCTATCATAGTGGGGGTTTCTCTACCATAGCAGGGGTCTCCCTGCCCCATGAGGGATCTCTGGCCCATACAGGGGGGTTTCTGCCCCATAGAGGGTGTCCCAATCCCACAGGGAGGTCGCTGCCCCATGGGGGGTGGTGGGGGGTGTCTCTGCCCCGTAGCAGGATCAGGGGGTGCCTGACTCCCCCTTTTCCACCCCCTAGGCTGGACCATGACGGTGCTGACCTGCTGGGGCAGCTGCTGCAGGTGAGGGGGAATGGACTTGTGCTGGCCCCCCCCTCCCCACGGGCCCCACCCAGCCCTGCCCCAAGCCCCTCCCCGTGCCATTCCCACCCCCTCCACCCCAAGTGACCACACCTTTCCCAGATGAGCCTCCCCAGGGCCCCCCTCACCCCCTGGGCGTGGCTTGCACAGGCTCCACCTACCGTGGGGTGGGGGGCACAAAAGGGGGAGGGAAAGGGGGTGGGGATTTCGGGGGCCACGCCCTCTGTGGGTGTGTCCCCGCCCCGTGGGCGTGTCCTGACGGTAGGCGGGGCAGTTCGAGGGGCGACGGCGGCTGCCGGCGGCGGAGGCCATGGCACACCCCTTCTTCGGCTGCCTGGGCCCGCGGGTCAGCGCCCTGCCCGACAGTGAGTGGGGGCACGAGGGACGGGGGCGTCGGGGGTGGGGGTGGCACCACTTGGTGCGGGGAGCTTCTGTGGGCGTGGCCTGAGGGCAGGGGCTGTAGTGGGCGGGGATTTGTGGAGTGGGTGGAGCTTTTGTGGGGTGTGGCTTTGGGGTGGGGCTTTGTTGGGAGGAGTCAGTGGGTGAGGGCTGGGAGTGGGTGGAGCTGTTTTGGGGGGTGGGGCTTGTTGGGGCAGGGTGGAGCCTTGGAGGGTGGAGCTTCCCCTGGGGGAGGGTGCCCATTGGTGGAAGTGGGGGGCAGTGGGAGGAACTTGAGGGGCAAGGTTTAGCCATTGGTGGGTGGAGCCTCAGAAGAAAGGGAGGGGCTATGCAAATTAGAGATGTGGGAGTGGCAAATCAGTGTGGTGTGGAAGGAGCTATGCAAATTGGTGATGTGGGGTGACAAATCATTGATGTGTGGGAGGAGCTATGCAAATCAACAAGGTGTGGTTTTTCTAGTGGGTGGGACTTGAAAACAACCACACCCCTTCTCCCGTGGTAACACCCCCTTGATGTGAGGCCCTGCCCACCCCCCTTTCTCCCCCACAGCCACCTCCATCTTCGCCCTGAAGGAGATCCAGCTCCAGAAGGAGCCGGGGCTGCGCACGAACCCCCTGCCCCCCCCAGGTCAGCACCCGAAACTGTGACCCCCCCGAAACTGCGGCCTCCCCAAACCCACACCGTGCCCCCCTCGTTTTCTCCCCAGGTTCTTCCGCCTTCCGGGTGCTCGACACTGAGTTCTGATGCTGAGCAGGTAGGGCCCCCCAAAAATCAGGTGAGCTGCCCAAAATGGGAGACCCCTCCCGTGGGACTGCTGAATTGACTCTTCCCAAAGTTGAGGAGCAGTAGCCCCGGGGATTGAGCCTGAAAGTGTGGGGAACACCCCAAAAAATGAGCCCCCCAAAACACATCTCAGATTTGGGAGAGTCCCCTGGAAAAGGAGCTTTCCAGAAATGGGGGGATCTACCCCAAAACCAGGGGATATCCCCCCAAACATGGGGGACACCCCCAAAATGTGGAGCTGCCCCACTATGGGCCCCCACAAAATTAGGGCCTCACAGACCCCCAAAATGGAGTAACTCTTATGAATGGGGAAAGCCCTAAAAAGGGGGGAGGGGGCAAATTTAGGGGTTCATCCATTTGAGGCCCCCTCCCTTAACTGCTTCCTCTCCCCACAGCCTCTGGACTGCTGCTGCAACCTCCCAGGACCCCCCAAAACTGAGGGGGGGGGTGTGCCACAAAACTGGGGGGTGATGCCCAAAATAAGGGCTCACCCCAAAACTACGGGAGGGCCCCCTGGACCGGTAACGACGGCCCCCCAGACAACCCCCCGAAGAACTGCTGCTGGATTTGGGGGGGGTCATGTGGGACCCCCCCACTGGAGGGGGGTTTGGGGTCCCCCCTATTTTTTTGGGGAGTTCCCTTGAGTCTGGGGTTTCTTCCCCCCCAATTTACTTCGAGTTTTATTTTTTCAAGGCAATATTATAAATAAGAGTCTATATGGGTCCCTCCCCCCAAGGGGCGGGGCTCAGAGGGGGTGGGGCACAGCAGGGCAGGGCCTGGCAGGGGCGGGGGCACCCTGGGAGCAGTTTTGGGGCGGGAAGGGTGGGGGAGGGGAGTCACAGTGCCCTTCTGGGCTTACACGCTCAACTCCAGGGTCACCCTGATGTTATTTGAGGCTTCAGCATCTCCCAGGAGGTTCCCCATGGTGGGGGGGCCTACTCCGAGGTTGGTCCCCCTTCACTCCAGGGTTACCCCAGGGTTACTCAGGCCCAGCTCTGACTTTACTCCAAGGCAGCTCAGGCCCAGCTCTGCGGCCACACCTGCCCTACTCCAGCCTTATTTCCTGACTCCTCAGCCTTGACTTGCTCACTGCTGGAGTGTTACTCCGTTTCTACTCTCAGTTACTCAGATGTTACTCAGCTGGGGTTACCCTCCCTCCCCCTGGGTTGCTCGTGGAGATTGTTACTCTGAGCGTTCCTGGCCCTTACGTCGAGGTTGGTTGGTACTTTACTCCTACCCAGATTTTACTCCAGCGTCACTCATGAGTGTGGGGGGGGTGTCTTTAGTCTGAGCTTCCTCAGCTGTTAGTCTGAAGTCACTTGGTACGTTGCCCCTATTCAGAACTTACTCCAGGGTTCCTCCTGGGTGTGTCCTTTGAGTTTACCCAGTCTGAGGTTACTCAGCACTTCTACACAGAACTTACTCCGGGGTTACTCAGATGGGTCCTTTCTCTGGGCTTGCTCAGCTCATCCTTTTGCGTTGCTTGATACTTTACTGCTACTCGCACCTTACTCCAGGGTCCCTCCACGTGGTTCATTCTCCTTTGCCTTTGCCCTGCACTTACTCCGACGTTACCACCCCTTTGGCCTACTCGGTGCTTCCGTGGACGTGACGCGCTTGCTCCTCTGACGCTGCCTGTGCAGTGACCCAGCCCTTACTCAGAGGTTCCTCAGCCTTCTGCTACTCAGCTCTCCCTATTTATTGCTGGAATCCCAGGTTCTCTCATCCTCCAGGCTGCACTCCAGCATTACACAAGTCTTGGCCTGCCTCATCTTACTCAGAGGTTGCTCAGCCCTTACTAGCAGGTCACTGAAACGTATCTTCACGCTGACTCGCCCCACACTTGTAACTGGCCTTGTGTGGTGGGTCCTCAGAAGGGACTTAGGCCTTACTCAACACTTAATGCTTACTCAGAGGTTCCTAAGGCCTTAGTGGGCCAGCCCTGTTTACCCCCCGGCGTGGTGGGTTTGGGGTTACATTGGCAGCGCCTTCTTTGCTACTCAACCTTTACTCAGACAGTAGGAAGCCCCTCTTCTGCTTTCGAGCTTCCCCCACCCTCCAGTTGCTTCCTTAGCCCCTCCTTGTGCTACTCAGAGGTTGCTGAGTTGCCCTGTGCCACATCTTTACTCATGTGTTACTCAGCTCTGGTGTCTCCTGCTCCCCCTGTTCTTCCATGCCTTTCCTCTGAGGATACCCCATGGATACCCCTCCTTCACTGCTTGCTGTGGTCTTACTCGCCCTTTACACTTCCAGGATGCTCTCAGCCCCTCTTCTGGGCTTCACAGCTCTTACTCTGAGGTTACTCAGCCCTTGCTGTTGTCCAGTAACTTGAAGTTATTGAGGTTTGTTACGTTGAAGTTCCTCAGATGCTACAAGAGGTCACAGTTTACACTGAGATTGCAAAAGTTACCCAGTGCACGAGTGGGAGGGGAGTAGTCTTTACTTATCCCTTACTCTGAGGTTCTTACTCACCCAATGGCCACACAGTCATTACTCTGAGGTCAATCCTTGCCCTGAAATTACTCATCCCTTACTCCCAGAGCACTCAGCCTCCACTTCTCACTCCAGGGTTACCCAGACCCCATTCCTGGGCTGAATCAGGTGTTCCTCCAGAGTTACTCCCGCTCGATGCCGAGGTGACACCTCGCTCTGGGGTCACTCACGTGCCCCCCTCCCCCACCCCGAGGCCGCACAAAAGGGACACTTTACACTGAGGGCGATTCGTGCCCTGGGGGAGAACTCGTCGGTTCCTCACCCTTTACCTTGAGGTCACTCCCATCTCAGCCCCCCTCACTCAGGATCGCCAAACCTCCCCCTGTCCCCTCCCTGTCTCCGTGGGTTCCGTGTATATATGTACAGGGGAGAGGAGTGGGGGGCGTGGATTTTTATATGCAGTGGGAGGGCCCCCCCTCCCAAATAGCGCCCTGCGGGGGGTGGGGGGCGCGGGACCCCCTCGGAAGGGCCCTTGGACTGTTCGGGGGCTCAGCGGGGCCGGGGGGGTCCCTGTGGCCCCCGGGGGCTCTGTGGGTGTCTGTAGGGTGAGGGAATTCCCTATAGCCCACACAGGGGCCCGGGAGGGGGGAGTGGGGTGTTCGGAGCCCCTCTGGCCCCCGGGGGAGGGGGGGGTCATGGATTCTTTGGGGGGGTCGCGCCCCCCCGGTATCACGGTGGGGGAGGGGACGGGGCGGGGCCGCGGCGTTTCGGCTGTAACGGGACCGACCATTAAAGCCTCCCCGGGACCGGTGTGACCCTTTGTGAGCCCCCCAGGGACCCCACGTGTGAACCCCACCGAGCCCTCCCAGCCTCTCCCGGGACCCCGTGTGACCCCCGAGAGCCCTCGGGAACGCTCCTCTCTTCCAGCGCCTCCCACCCCGGGATCCCCCGAACTCCATCGGGACCCCCCCGGGATCCCCCTGACCCCCATCGGGACCCACCGGGACCCCCCTGGGGACCCCCCGGGATCCCCCAGACCCCACATCGGGACCCACTGGGATCCCCCAGGCCCCCATCGGGACCTCCATGGGGACCCCCCTGACCCCACACTCCACGAGCTCCCCGCCCCCCGCGGCCCGGGCGGTACCACGCGCTCCTTTCCCCGCCCAACCCCCCCAATGGTCCGTTCCGCGCGTGGAGGGGGCGGGTCCCAGCAGGTGACCAATCGCGTGGCGGCGCGGCCGTGACGCGCGGCGGGGGCGGGGCCGGTTGATAAGGCGGGGCGGGGCGGGCGCGGCCTCATTCCGGGCCGGGCCGGCAGCGCGGGTGAGTTGTGGCGGCCGCTCCGTGGGGGCTCCGTGCCCCGTTCCCCGTGTCGCGATAGCTGCGGTTCCCGCCGCTCGGCGCGGGCGCTGCCCCCGGGCGGGGTTTCCTCCCTCCCCCCTCCCGCCACGCCGCGTTGGGGGCCGCGCGGGGTTCGCGCGTGCGCGGGAGGGCGGGGCCAGCGCGCGCGCGGGGAGCGGGAGCGGCGCTTCCGGGAGGTGCCCACGTGGCCGGGGGGGGATCCACGTGGGGCTGGGGGGGGGTGTGACGTCAGGGGGGAGCCACGGGGAGTTCCCGTGACGTAACCGGGAGGGGAGGTGTGGAGCTGCGAGGGGTTGTCCCAAGACAGTGACGTCAGGGGGGGTCTCTAGGACTGGGGTCTCTTGGAGAGCTATGACGTCACTGGGGGCTACGTGGGGGTCCCACCAGGGTAATAACGTCATAGGGGCCCAGGGGAGTGCGTTCTGCGAACTGTGACGTCACGGAACCCCGCACGGGGCAGAGGGATTCCCTCTGGGCTGTGACGTCATCAGGGTCGCTTTGAGGGTTGTGCCATCGGGGGGGACACCCCGGGGAGTTCCCTGCCGGGGCTGCGATGTCACAGCAGCCCGGGGGGTGTGGGGGCAGGGCTGTGACGCCATAACTCTTTCCCGCTGCCCAGGTTGCAGTGTCGCCGGAGGGGCAGGGCCCCACCCTGTGACATCGCTCCCGGCCCCGCCCCCCACGCATGGCGGCCGAGGAGGGGAAGCTCTTTGTGGGGGGCCTCAACTACGACACGGACGAGCAGGGGCTGGAGCAGCACTTCAGCTCCTTCGGGCCCATCGCCGAGGGTGAGGCACCCCGAGCCCCCCCGGAACCCCCAAACCTCCTTGGGAGTCCCAGATCCCTCCTGGGAACCCCAAATGTTGCAGACGCCCCAACTCCTCCCCAGCACCCCCACCTGTTGCCCCCAGAAACCCCTGAGATCCCCCCAAATTCTCCTCTAGGACCATTTCCTCCCTCAAACCCTCCTGAGAATCGTCAGATCCCCTCCCAGAGCCCCAGAATCCCTTGGGGTTCCTCTTCCATTCTCTGGGGACCCCCCCACATCTCTCCAGGAGTCCCCAAAATCTGCCTGGGGAGGGAGGACACCTTGGAAGTGGCTGACTCCCCCACTGGAGGCCTTGGCTTTGGGGTGACACCCAAGGGTTTTGGGGGGGGCTATTTTTGGGTGTAGCCTTTAGAATGGGGTCTGGGGAGGTTCCCTCTGCTTTGGCACCCCAGGTTTTTGGGGGGCCACCCATGGGCGGGGGTCCCTTTGGACCACGGTTTTGGGTCTTAATGCATAGGATTGGCTTTGGGGTTGGGGTGTCCCTTCCTCCTGTGGGACCCCATTTCAGGGGGGGGTCCCAGCCCTCCCTGACTCCCCCCATTGCCCCTCAGTGGTGGTTTGGGGGGGTCCCTGAGCCCCCTGGACCCCTGACCCCCTGCCCCCGCAGTGGTGGTGGTGAAGGACCGGGAGACCCAACGCTCGCGCGGCTTCGGCTTCGTCACCTTCACCAACCCTGAGCACGCCAGCGACGCCATGAGGGCCATGAACGGCGAGGTGGGGGGGGCTGGGGGGGCTGCAGGACCCTCAGGAGCCCTGCACGACTTTTGGGGTCACTGAGGAGGTCTGGGACACTCAGAATGGAGTCCAGAGGGGGACCCCAGAGAGTCCCCTGTGGGTGCCTGGGGGGACGTGGGAGACCCCAAGGGGGTGTTTGGGGGATCTCTGAGTGGGTTTGGGCCATTTTTAGTGGGGTCTGGGGGCCCCTGGTGGGATCTTGGGGGGTCTCTAAGGGTGTGGGGGTGCATTGAGGGTCGCTGAGTGCCCCTGGTGGGGGTCCCTGGAGGGTGTGGGTGGAACTTGGGGAACCCTAAACATGTCTGGGGCTGGGGGTCCCTGGGGTGCTGGGTGGAACTTGGGGAGCCCTAAACATGTCTGGGGCTGGGGGTCCCAGGAGGGGTTGGGGTGACCCCAGCGTGGCGTGTCCGTCCCCAGTGCCTGGATGGGCGGCAGATCCGGGTGGATCACGCTGGAAATCCCCGTGGTGCCCGGGGAGGCTACGGAGGGGCCGGGCCGGGCCGAGGATACCCCAGGTACGTCCTGGGTGGGGCTGGAGGGGGTTAAGGGGCTTTTTGGGGGATTGGAGTGGTGTGGGGGGGCAGGGGGTCTGTGGGGTTGTTTGGGGGGGTTAATGGGGAATCTTGGAGCTTTTTGGGGGGTACTTGGCAGGGTGAGGGGGTTTTTGGGTGATTTGGGAGGATTTGTGGTGGGAGGGGATTTGTGAGGTGATGAGGGGGATTTTGGAGGGGTGATTTGGTGTCTGGTGGTTTTGGAGAGCACTTGGGGATTTTGGGTGGCTTTGAGGGGGGCACCTGGGGGGGGTCTTTGGAGGGGAGGGGACTGGAAGAGATTTGGGGGTGACCTGGGGGGTAAATAAAGGATCTTGAGGGGGTGTTTGGGGGGGAGCTGGAGGACACAGCGGGGCACTTGGGGTCCTGGATGGAACCTGGGAAGAGCAACAAAGAGTTCTGAGGGGATCAGGCTTTGTTTGGGGACTGAGGATTTTGGGGGCTCAGGGGCATCTTGAGGAGTTTTATGTTCCCTCTTGCACCCCCTCAATACTTGGGGTTCCCCCCACAGGAGGGGGTGACCGTGGCTACGGGGGCCGCTACGACGGGCGCAGCGGGGGGGGCTACGGGGCTCCCGGGACTACGGCAGCCGGTGAGTGGGGGACACCGTGGAGACACCGGGAGTTGGGGGACACCCGTGTGAGGGGACACCGTGGAGGGGACACCCTTGGGATTTGGGGAAGGCCCCAGGGGGGTGCTGGGAACGGTGGGGGTAGAGCTTGGTGGGAGGGGGTGGGAGGGGAGTCCTGGGGTGAAGCTCTTGGGAGTGTTTGTGGTGGTTTGAGGGGGCTTGTGGTTGCTGGGAGGGGCACCCGTGGGTGCTGACCCCCTCCCCACCCTGCTGTCCCCCAGGAACCAGGGGGCTACGGCGAGCGCTTCCCCTCGGCCTCGTACCGGGACAACTACGACAACTGAGGTAGGGGCACGGCGGGCGGGGGGGCGGGGGTGGCACCCCCCAAAAGTGATTGGGGGCACCCTGGGAAACCCCCCTGCACCCCCTGCACGCAGCTGGGGACCCTCGAAAACCCTCCATCCCCACACCCTCCCGCCAACCCCCCCATTTTTGGGGGGCCTATCCGATTTTCTGACACCACCACCCCCTTAAATTATTTTTGGGGGGGATCTTGTAGCACCCCAGAGCTCAATTTTGTGGAGTCTGGAAGAGGTTGCTGCCTCTCCCAAATAATTTTGGGGTTCCCCTCCATGTCCCCAGTTTTGAGGGGGTTGGGGGTCCCTGAACCTGCACAGACTCCCATTTTGGAGGGAGTGTGGTGCTCACTGACACCCCTGAGTTATTTTAGAGTGCTTTTGGGATTCTCTGTTCTTATGCCTCCAATTTTTTAGGAGGAATGGCAGTCCCTGAACTGCCAAAAACGTCCATTTTGGAGGGCTGTGGAAGCCTCTGACCCCTCCCCAGATTATTCTAGGTAGTCCCTGACCCCTCCAAACCCTTGTTTTGGGGGGCGGTGGCTGCAGAGTTCTCTGACCCTCCCAAATCACTTGGAGGGTAGTTTCGGGTTCCTCCTGTTCCCCCAAACCCCCATTTTGGGGGGCTCTTTGAGTGCCCCTTCCCCACTGATTTCCTTCTCATCCTCAGCTCGGACCCTCGGTGCTGGATTTCGGGGGGGGCCCCTCCTCCCCTGGGCCGTGGATGGACGCCGAGGGGGGAGTGGGACACGGTGGGGGGGGGGTGAAGGTGGGGAGAACCCTCAATTTGTACTCCCATTGTGTCACATTAAAGGTCAGACCCTCTCCCAGTCGTGTCTCTTGGGTGGTCCCCTCTGGGTGGTCTCTGCTCCATGGGGGGGTCTCCGGGAGCTGCAGGATCCCTGTGGAGTGACCTCACTCCGAGGGGGATTCCTCGGGGTGTCCCCTTTCCAAGAGAGGATCTCGGGGGGCTTCAGTGTCTGTGGGGTGATCCCTCTCAAAGTGGGGGATCTCAGGAGGCTTCAGACTCTGCTCCACTATGGGGTGACCCCTCTCAAATGAGGGGATCTCGGGGGGCTTCAGTCCCTGTGGGGTGACCCCTCTCCAAGGGGGGGTTTTGGGGCACTCGTTGACCCCCCCCGGGCCGTTTGCAGCGAGGCCTCTCCAGCTCCCAACATTTCAGCCTCGGTGCCCTCCGTGCCAGGGCAGTCCCACCTGCCCCCTGGACCCTCCTGGAGCTCGGCAGGGCCGGGGGTGGCAGCTCGGGCACAGTCTCCAAACAGGCTCTGAGTTAAGTTCGAGATTCACCTTTTCATGTCCCATCCTTAGACAGGAACCCCAGACAGTGCCCAGGAGGGATCTCCTTGCCCTGCACTGAGGGAAGGGACTCAGCTGAGTCAGCAGAGGTGTCTCCTTGTGGCTCTGCAGACCTGGGGCCAGAAGGACACTCAGCTCCCTCCACAATCCCCATGGGCTGGGATTCCTCCTGCCCCACTTCAGTGGGCCCAAAACAGGCACCTGCAGGGGACTCCTTGTCCCAGCTCCCCTGGCAATGAATGAAGACAAAAGCTCACAGCACTTGGTTACAAGTGCTGGACACAAACACTTGGCTGCTTCTGAGGTGCCAGAGGTGACCAAGATTCCTGCTGGGAACTGCAGGCTCTGATGGAGCAGTCCATGGAGAGAAGGAAGCACCTGCAGGCATCTTCTTGGAGGCTGCTGGGACGTTGCTGTGCCCGATTTAAATGGCAGGAGGTGCCCACATGTAGGACAGGGGAACCTAAAACTGTTCCTCATGTCCATGGCAGCCCATAGAGGTGTCCACCACTGTGCTCCTCCTGAACCCAAACCACAGCACTGTGCCAGCTACCAGCAAGGAAATTCCCTGTCTCTCAGCCAAGACCAGGACAGCATCCACCCCTCATCCCATCCCATTTACCTCGGGCCAGTTTTGTCAGTAAATCACACACTCGGCCGTAGGAATTGGGATGTCGGTCCCTGACCCACTGTGAGCACATGGCAGTGGGGTTGGGATAAAGGGCTGAGGTGAAAGGGAAGAAAGAAAGCGTCACAAACCATTTCCAAGGACATGTAAATTCTTGCCAGGCTCAACAAAGGCAGCAGATGCGTCAGGGAGCTCTTGAACTTTTATGGTCACCTTAATTCCGGCACCCAGCCCACTGTTTACACTCAGGAGGTGGTGGCCTTTAGACTTTCCAAAAGAGTTCCACAAGTGGTGGCTGCCAAGCCCTTATTTTTGTACAGGACACTTATTTTTGTACAGGACACTGCAATCAGCTCTCAATAGGCCGTGTTCTCTTCGACATCTTCATAAAAAACTTGGACACAGGACTGGCAGCCTGCAGATTACACAAATCTTGGAGGAGCTGTTGAGAGCCCTGCAGAGAGACCTTGATAAATCAGAGCAGTGGCCAATCACCAAACACATGAAATTCAACAAGGGAGGGTGCTGGATTGGGATGGGGCAAGCCCGGATGTAGGGACAGATGGGAACGAGAGGCTGGGAAGCAGTGCCGGGAAAGGGCCCTGGGGGTGCTGGTGGGTGCCAGTTGGCCCTGAGTCAGCAGTGCCCTGGCAGCCAGGAGGGCCAAGCCTGTGCTGGGGGCATCAGGGAGGGGATTGTCCCGATCTGCTCTGCCCTGGGGCGACCTCACCTGCAAGACTGGGGCAGTTTGGGGGGACACAATGGAAGGGAGAGATTGAGCCATTGGAGAGTGTCCAAAGGAGGCCACGAGGATGGGGAAGGGCCTGGAGGGGAAGGTGTGTGAGGACACTGAGGGCACTTGGTGTGTTCAGCTGGAGGAGACTGAGGGGAGACCTCACTGCAGTCACAACTTCCTGGGCAGGGGCAGAGGAGGGGCAGGCCCTGAGCTCTGCTCTGGGGGGACCAGGGACAGGACTGAGGGAATGGCCTGGAGTTGTGTGAGAGGAAGTTTAGGGTGGATTTTTGAAAAAGGTTCTCCCCCAGAGGGTGGTTGGGCACTGAACAGGCTCCCCAGGGCAGTGGGCACAGCACCAAGGCTAACAGAGCTCCAGGGGTGTTCAGATGATCCTCTCAGGCACACGGTGTGACCCTTGGGGATGATCCTGTGCAGGGTCAGGAGCTGGATTTGATCATCCTTGTGGGTCCCTTCCAACCCAGCATATTCTGTGATTCTGGGAATTACGTCCCAGCATTCCCTGACCTGCAGGGATCCCTGCTCGCCTTGGCTGCAGCCGCAGCGTGGATGAAGAGCTGCCAGGGACAGGGAGATGACAGGAAGGAAGGAAGGAAGGACAGGAAGGAAGACACTGAACACCAAATCTTCCTTAAAACTGGCAAATGATGACCCAGAGCAAAAAGAAAAGCATCTCGTGTACTTCACTGGAAATAGCACTGGAAAAGAAATGTTCTGTTGCGTTGATAACTTAAGGACATTGGCACAGGTGATTTTAAAACCGGCGGGGTTGTGAGAAGTTAATCCGGGGTGTCTGTTGTGTCTCGGGGCACGCTGGGAGATGAAGTCCTGCTGGAAGCCCGGGAAAGGATCACCAATTCCGGCTGTCCCGGGAAGAGCCTTTGAAGGGATTGGACATTTCAAAGTGCTCGCTCCCCCCACCTTTGGTAACCGCGCCTTTTTTGAATTCAGGAGCTTTTTCAGCCTCTCCGTTTCCACCATCCCGGCGGGGTCTTGTTTTTATTCACCGCCAATTTAAAACGGACAATTCAAAAGGGATGAGGGAAACCAAGAGATCAGAATCTCTCGGGATTTCCGACCTGTGGCAGCCTCCGGGTCATGGGAAGGATCAAAGGAAAGCACAAAAAACTGCGGATTTCAGCACCTCGAGGGGGAGGCGACAAAGAACCCTACAAAACTTAATAGAAGAGGAGGAGTGGACCCGGTGAGGAGACAAGGAACAGGGAACGAGGTGTCGGGAAGGAGATGGGGGGGGGAAATTTATCTCGTGAGCAAGAACAGACAGCCGAGAACTTATTTATTAAATAGACAGCAAGGAAATGTTTCAAAACCGAGAATTACAGCACTTTTAAGATGGGTTTGTAAGTATGTGCCAAGTTTTCCACGGACTGGGACTACAGAAGTAAACGAATGGAAGAAAATTGTGATTAAGGCGTCTTGAGGAAGCAGGACTTGGAAGCTTTTAACCCTCTAGGTGTTGGTAAAGAAATCATCACCGCTTTGAAAGCAATAAAAGCAATAAAAAAATCACGATTTTCGCCCCCCTCTGCTTATCCTGAGGCTCCCCCAAGGCGGGAGGGAGAGGGGGAGAGAGAGGCGATTCCTCGTCCTCGGCAGTGCCCTCAGTGTCGGAATTTGCCACAGGAATTAATTACAGATATTCAGCAAATTAAGGAAAGCGGAATTTCATCTCCCCATGCTCGTGGAGAATTTGGGTCAGACACCCCAACTGACATACTGGAAATCAAAGAGATAAGAAACTAAGGATTGCTGCTTAATCTCTGTTTTATGGTTATAATGCACAGAAATAAAGGTTTTGTGTGTGGATGTGTGTTGTGTATGTTTGGATTAGTAAGAATGTGAATTTTTGTTTGGTTTGGTTTTTATTCACTGCCACAAAAACCTTGTGGAAAAGGCCTTTAGAAATCAACTCACCTTGCTGATACTTTCAGATAAAGCACATGTAATTATATATGTGTACATAAGACTTGAGTGTGGTGAATGGGACAGGTCATTAACAGCTCTCATGGCTGATTGCAGAATACAGCCTTGAAAACTTTGATGAAATTCCAGACAAAAGCATCAGTACTCACTGATTTGTAACTGGTACCTGCCCCTTTCTCACCCATTTTTGAGCTGTGTGCTGTCCCAAGGACTCACAAACCAGAGCACAGGCATTTATGAACTTTATTTGCTTTTCCTCACCAAACTGGATTAATGCCTGACATGAAGTTGTTTGTATTTTCAGTTTTATCTACGGGATTAACACAGGAACAGGTGTTCAAACCTTTCCCTACACTTCCATGGCAGAAGCTGCTGCTCCCTGGGAAGGCTGCCTGGGATTTCCCTCTGTATTCTGATACTTAAAGCAACAACATTTAGTTCTACACACCACACTTTGTATTTCAGATCAACAATTTAATGACATCTTAACGTTGTTTTTACAATCTGAACTGTATTTTATTCCTCACGAAGTTGACATATTTTTAAATGGAAGTAATTCCATTCAATTTTTAGAAGTGTCAGAACTGATCTAACATACTGAAATAGCAGCTACTGAAAACAAAACAGCCTGAAAGGACAGGTCTAACAGCACTTCAAATGCAGGAAAAGCAAGGTGACTTCAGGTAGAAGTGCATGCATTTAACAGGTTCAGTATTTCTTTCCCAAAGTGTCCTCTGTGAATGAAAACACAGTAAATTTCAAAGAACAGAAGGAAACTTCTTTAAAACCAGCATTTCTAATGCCAGAACCAGCTTGGAAACAACTTCCTATGCAGTTATTTCAAAATTCAAAACTGAGGTTTTACAGCAGAGGGGAGGAAAGGTGGGACAGGCTCTGCAAGTGGATGGAGCTACAGATCTGGAAGGTTTAGGTGTGTAAAGGAAATGAACGTGGGATTAAACAACACGACACAAAAACACACCAAAATACAAATCTGACAGAACAAACAACACTGCTCTCAGTGCCAGGGCACTGGGCATTGCTGCATTTTAAGCAAAGAACTTGGCAACTTCTTTGATTTTCCTTTTCCTGTCCACTTTGGCCACCGCAGCCCAGCCCGCCTCGTGCATTTTCCTCACGGCTTTGAGTTTGAGGGCAGAGCCCGGAGATTTCCCACTGGAGGGAGTCGGTGCCTAAGAAGGAAAGTAAAGCCACTCTTGGTTTCTGGGAAGACTTTGATCAGCTGTTTGGTTTAATCTGAGGAAAAGCTGATGTACCTTTTTCGGGGCCGTGGAATGTAATTGTGAAGTTTGGGGATAATCCTTGTACAACTTCTTAAACATTTTCTCTTCCGAGACCATGCTCTGAAATTAAAAAGGAAAAAGCTATTTAGTTACATTGTATTAAAATTTCTTCTCCTTCTCCCTTCCCCCCCCAGGAATATTAAAGTATAAACAAAAAACTAGTTAAGATGTTCCTATGAAGCCTGAATAGTTTAATAACGGGCATGTAAATAAAAATTTGTACACACAAACACAATTCCAGAAAGAACCAATTAAGTGAAAATCCAGACATGAGTGAGGTGTGTGATGTGGGACCCCCCAGGCTCTCTCCCCACTCTCAGGGGTGTGCCCAGAGAGCTGCTCAGGGCAGGGCTGGGGCTCTCCCTCTCACCAGGAGGTCGCTGTGCTCGGAGCTGTCCGAGTGAGTGTCCAGCTGCAGCAGCACCTTCTGCTTCTTCCTCGTGCTCTGCTCTGCAGGCAGATTTGTGCTTCTCCCACCCTGCAGGTTCTGTGCTGGAGGAGTCTTTATAACAAATGTCTGGGAAGGAAAATGTTTACATTTTAGTTGTGTTGTCAGGGGGAAGAACAGAATCTAAAGCCAAACTCAGACCCCATTTGTGGTCTGAGCTGTCCAAGAAGACCCCTGGGAGATGCTGGGGAATTCTTATCTTTCCATCCCAGAGGTGAACAAAGACCCAAAGCAAAGGGGGTGGGGAGGGAAAATGCCCTTTTTTTGGTTGCTGAGCAAGGGGAATGGCCAGGAGGCTGTGGAGAACTGAGGTTTCTGGCACGTGGGATCTCAGGCCTTGGGGCTCATCTGCAGAAATTCAGGTTGTGGGAACTGCAGGCACCACGTGAGGGCTACAACAAACACCTGAGGAGATGTCAGAGAGGCACTGGCATTGACAGCAAGAGTGTTTTTACTTGAAAGAGTCTGTTCATCCCAGGTTAAACTTCTGAGGATCATTGCAATGGTCCACTGCAATCCTGTTTTAGAAAGGGTAATGTGGAAATGGCAGTGAATTCTGTTATCAGAATATAAACATCACCAGTGGTCTTCCTGACAGGGCAGGAGCAGAAGTTGTGCAGTCAGGAACCCTTTGATACTTTGATAATTTATACAGCTATACAAAATTTTTTCTATTCCATAGAGAAAAAAAAGCACTGTTTCAAAACCACACTTTAAGACTAAGAGGATTCCAGAGATATTATTAAATTCACAATCTCTGGACAGGAATTGTTACTGATAAATGACACACATTGGGATCCCTTCCACAAACTGCTCTCTAATATCCCTGTGATTTGGAATCACCTTTTTAAACCCCTGCTTATCCCACCACAAAAATAAATAATCATCCCCAGAGAAATAAGAAGCACAGTCAGAGAATGCCACAAGAACAATTCACTGTCTCAGGAGTCACAAAGCTTCCAAGCTGCACTGCCCAAGGGGCTTCCTGCACACACTGAAGTGGGCATTTTATCTTTTCCATGGATTGACTCCCACAGGAATTGCACTTAGAGACTTCTCACTGATTACATTAACAGAGTCACTGTTCTAAATGCGGTTTAGGATTCTCAGGAAAGTAAAGTTTGTGTTTTCTAAAATGACAAAAGGTGGAAGTTAAAAGCAGCTCAGTGTCTTTTGGTGAGTGTACATAAACTGTCATGGAACTTCAAGCAGATTCCATGAGCACAAATATCACCAGACTGTTTGGTTTAATCTGAGGAAAAGCTGATGTACCTTTTTCGGGGCCGTGGAATGTAATTGTGAAGTTTGGGGATAATCCTTGTACAGCTTCTTAAACATTTTCTCTTCCGAGACCATGCTCTGAAATTAAAAAGAAAAAAAGTTATTTAGTGACAGTATATTAAAAAATACTTCTCCCTCCCCCCAGGAATATTAAAGTATGAACAAAAAAAAAAGTGAAGATGTTCCTATGAAGCCTGAACAGTTTAATGTAACAGGCATGTAAATAAAAATTTGTACACACAAATACAATTCCAGAAGGAACCAATTAAGTGAAAATCCAGACATGAGTGAGGTGTGTGATGTGGGACCCCCCAGGCTCTCTCCCCACTCTCAGGGGTGTGCCCAGAGAGCTGCTCAGGGCAGGGCTGGGGCTCTCCCTCTCACCAGGAGGTCGCTGTGCTCGGAGCTGTCCGAGTGAGTGTCCAGCTGCAGCAGCACCTTCTGCTTCTTCCTCGTGCTCTGCTCTGCAGGCAGATTTGTGCTTCTCCCACCCTGCAGGTTCTGTGCTGGAGGAGTCTTTATAACAAATGTCTGGGAAGGAAAATGTTTACATTTTAGTTGTGTTGTCAGGGGGAAGAACAGAATCTAAAGCCAAACTCAGACCCCATTTGTGGTCTGAGCTGTCCAAGAAGACCCCTGGGAGATGCTGGGGAATTCTTATCTTTCCATCCCAGAGGTGAACAAAGACCCAAAGCAAAGGGGGTGGGGAGGGAAAATGCCCTTTTTTTGGTTGCTGAGCAAGGGGAATGGCCAGGAGGCTGTGGAGAACTGAGGTTTCTGGCACGTGGGATCTCAGGCCTTGGGGCTCATCTGCAGAAATTCAGGTTGTGGGAACTGCAGGCACCACGTGAGGGCTACAACAAACACCTGAGGAGATGGAAACAAATCTGCAGGAGAGTTCTGTCAGAGAGGCATTGGCATTGACAGCAAGAGTGTTTTTACTTCAAATGGTCTTTCCATAAGAAGGAGACTTTTTATCTTTTACACCAGCAGATTCACTGTCCAAATCTAAAGGAGGAATATGAGTCTTGGGAAAATAAGTCTGCATTTTCTAAAATTAAAAAAAGGTTTAAGCTAAAAGCATTTCAATGGCTTTTGTTGAGTGTGCATAAATGATCACAGAACTTCAGCTGGATTCCATATGTACAAATATGAGCAAATTCTACAATTATTTCTTTGGTTAAAGTTACCTCGTGCTCCATTTCAGCTTCAGGAAGCCTGTTTTGAGTGTGTCCATTCCTAAGATTCTCCTAAAAAGAGTTATGGGATAGGAAGTGAATATTTGATTGGAATTCAGCTGTTAAAAATCTTCTTGGTGTAATCACAGAACACAGCCCACTCTCACACACTGCTACAAAGCTCACATAAACATCTGGTCAGCATTTAAAAGAAATTTTTCTATTCACAGTTTTATTTCTTCTCCAACTTCTCCCAGTGCATAAGCCCAGGCCAAACCTGTCCCCCCCACTCTGCTGCAGTTATTAAAAAAATAAACCACCTTTTCCTCAGTTTCTGCTCTCAGCTGTTCCTTAAGGCAGGACAGTTCACTCTTCAAACGTGACAGTTCACTCTCCTGTGAACAGTGAGATCAAGGGCAGGGAAGGAAAAAATTTATTGGTAAATAAATTGGTAAATAAATTTATTGGTAAATAAATTGGTAAAAAAGTAAAATATGGTATTTATTGTATTACACTTGGATGGCACCAACCCCTCCACTGCATTATTCAGGGTTGAAAAGTGCTCCTTACCACTGATCTTTCTGATGACAACTGCTCCTGCTGCTTCAGTTTACACAGTTTTAACTCTGCATCTTTTTCTTCAACCATTTTGTCATATTCGTGCTGTTTTAAAACAAAAAAACAAACAAAAAACCAACAACACACTCAAAAACACGGGACTGAATGTTACAATTATGGATAGAGAAAATCCTAGAACTTTAGATAAATGGAATTTATCTGCCCACAGGCACGTTTTCAAAATCTGAAGATGAATTTATTTTCAGATGATGAAAAGTCAAGCATGTGTTTAATTTCACCTTCTTACATTCAGGTCTTTTTATATGAAGCTGCACTTTCTAACTCACAATGTGCTGGTTTTGAAAGGTTCTTACTCCTCATGGCATCACAGACGACAAATCACAGCAATCAGTAAAAATCTCTCACCTTGTGTTTTTCCATGAGTGCCACCATCTCTTTTATCTTGTGCTGACACCTGATATCAGTTTCTCTCTGGATCATCGTTGCCTCATCATAAAGCAACTTCAGCTTTTCTACCTGTCGGTCATAAATTTCATTTTAATTCACCAACAATTAACAGCAAGATGTGTTTTTAAAAAACCTTTTAGTTTCATTTCTTCTTCCCCCTTCCTTGTGGGTGCAAAGTAGGTGCAGTCTCATTCAGGCTTTATTTGCCTTTAAGAACCTTTTCAAACCCTGCATCTTTTATGCATCTTTTTAAAATGGGCAAATAAATATAAATTAAAAGCACATCCATGGTAGACAAATGTCACCTCACAAGGCCTTTTCAAGCACTCTGCCTTTAACTTTCCTTGGCATCGCCATGAAAAAAGTGTGGGCAGAAAAACAAAATTATGAGAGAAGTTATAATCTAATTTGCCTCTGCTGTGTTTATACCCAGGACAGAATTTCTTTGAACAATATCTTGATAAAGAGAATTTTTAACTGGGTTCCCATTTTCAAAGGCATACACAAATACTTCAACTAAAGTTTTGCTCACAGGCAAACAAACCCAAGAAGTTCCATTTACGTTGATGAGACTGAAAGGTAAGAGCAAGGGCTGGCCAATAAAGCTCCATGAAACCATCGTACATCCCCAAAAAAATTCCAAATAGCAGGAAAAATCAACGTCTCTCACCTCTTCGTGAAGTTTGTTTTCATTTATTTTTTTTGTTTCAATCTCTTTTTGGTAGCTGTCAACTGTTTCCTTATGTTGCTTGTTCATGTTTTCCAGCTCTAACTGCAGTTTATTCACCTTTTGAGAATGCAGAATCGCTGCTGTTATTTGTTCAATAATTAATATGCCAATGATTTATATTTTTTTACCTCTGATTTTTGAGCACAAACACTCTGTTACTTTTCAGCTATGTGATTGAACTGTTTCCTATTTAAAGTTCAGCTTTTTTTTCCCTGAAGAATTAAACTTTGGCCTGAAGTGATTTAGAAAATGCTCACAGAAAGAGCACAAGGGGAAAGACAGCCCTAAGCAGCCTCCCAAAAATGCTGTGACTTCCCTGGAAATAAAAAATACAGATGGAGATTTTATTCCCTCCTTTGTAAATCTATCTCAGATTTTCCCAGTTGCATGGAGTGTTCTCCTCCCAGCTGTGCAATTTGATTTCAGTTTTTCAAGTTTTTCAGAGGAATATCCTCAAAAAAGTCCCCTTCTTTCTTGAAGTGTGGCACCCAAATAATGTATGTGTTTATTTTAATTTTATTTTTTTTTCTATTTCAATGGGATTACTGAATACTCTTCAGTACATTATCAACCAAAACAAGAAAGGGACTGATAAATTTCTAAATGTCTCATAGCCCAGTCAGAGCTCAGTGATTAAAAACAGAAATACCTTCCAAAAATTATGGGCCCATTCCTGCCAAATCTGTATCCCAGATCCATAAATCAGTTCAGAATGTATTTAAAAAATGTTATCATTATTTCCACTGGGACTCAAAACCCTCACCTCATCTTCTACATGATGTTACTTAGACATACCTTTCCTTCATAAATGCTGCTTTTCTTGCTTTCTGCAGTAATTTTCTTTTTCAGCCCCTTGTTCTGTTGAAATAAACAAAACACAAACTTTAAAAAGTGGCTAGAATTGTGTAATGGTTGAACTGCATCCAGCAGGTGAGAATCTTCACAAATTCCAGCTTTCAGCAAGCAAACAACTCTCTGTTGTGCAGTTCAGGTGCTGGGACAGTCCTGGGATAATCCTGTGATAGGGCTTTATTACAGGTCCATAAATAATACCATATACTAAATTAAAAAACCTGTTTATTACAGGTATTATTTCTGTAAATGCTATTCTCAAATGAAGGATAATTTCACAAATCGAGCAATTTCAAAGGTGACTCCTGCTCTGCTCAGTCAGGATAAGAAAGGAAATTATCGACTACCTAAGTGTGTCTAAAGATATCACAGCAGACAAAACCTGTTGAAAAGTCCCCACAAAATACCATCTCCTCTGTGTTTGTGACTCTTAAAAACTGTACACACCTCCTGCTGCAACTCCTCAATGTATCTGGCTTTACTTTCCACCTGTTTCTTTAAATTATTCACCTGAAAGAGAGATTTCAAACATGAGTGAATGACTCCTGCCAGTGCCTCCCTGTGTCAGAAGTTACTGTCATGCATTTGCACCAGTTTAAAAAGAAAAAAGAAGGAAAAATAAAAGGAACTTCACAATTTAAAAAACAATCCTGTGTTGAGTTCCCTACAATCCATGAACAAAATGAGTTTTCCTCATTATTTCCTACAATCTTCAACTGTTCTGCCATTCTGGAAATTCCATTTTCAACAGTAATTGGGATTACAATTGTACATTTTTGGCTTTTACAGTGAAATTCTGAAATCCCTAATGCTGAAAAACCAGGTGTGCTTTGAAACTGGAGCAAGAAAAGTAAAAAATATTGGAATCTGTTCAAGCTGGAACTCCCATTATATTTTGAAAGCTAATCCAGATCCCACCCATCACTCGGTGGGGATGTGGAAATAAAGGAGAGGAGGTTCCCTGTTTGCCTGGAAATCCAACAAATCTCCAACTTTCAGCCTCCCAGCAAAGAGGGAACACCCCAGGGAAGGTCCCTATCCTTTAAAACAAAAGTGCTCAGCCTGTTGACCCATCTGGGAGCAGCCCAGCAGAGATCCCAGCCCAGGGCAGAGCTTGGCAGAGAGAACCCCCCCGAGCATTTTCCATCTGCCAGGGGTGGTCGTGGGGGTTCCCACGGGGTGCACGCACGTCCTCTTCTCTCTCATCCAGTTTGCTCTCGATCTCTTCCCCTGCCTTGGCCATTTTCTCCTTCAAAGACTCCAGTTCGTTCCTGAAGGCCAAAGGAACAAATATCAATAAATATTTAAGATTTCCTAAGGATCTCTTTGCTGCTTAATCTTTATTAAGAAATCGAACTTCTTTTCATTAAAGACAGATTTTATTTTCTAAAAAAGAGCTGCTGATATTGATGGGAATTTCATGAGCTGTTCAATGAAAATGTTCTTAAAATGAAGCAAAGTGCCTGGTAAGTTAATGTGTGACCTGTCCCTACTTCTTGTAAGGAATGGAAAGATGTTCCCCTCACCTAAGGAAAGTACATCCCAACACTCAGACTAACTGTGACAGAATTGAGTCTAAAATTCCTTTAATAATATCAGATATTAAGATCTGCTTTCACTTGCCTTAGCTGGCCATTTTCCTCTTCTAGGTTTTCAACCAACTGCTTTGCATCTTCTTCTTTTTTCTTACTCTCCTAAAAAAATCCGTGTAAATTCAAGGTGACATCTTAAAAAGGCATCCAAAGCATGTTGACCTGCCTCATTCACAGGGGTAACTTGTATTTCAGACACAAAAATAGTTCAGATACTCTACAGAACCATGGTTGTTGCAGTTTACTGTCTGATTTGTACTCTAAATGGAGTGTTGTCACCTAAAACCAGCTGGAAGTCTCCAACTTGCCTTGTGACTTTCTTGCAGGTCCTTGAGTTCTGCAGCCACAGCACTTTTCTCTTGTGCTATTTGTTCTTTCTCCAGTGAAAGTTTATTGATGCACACTGTTAGTTCTTCATTCTTTAACCTAATTTAAAACAAATGGCCAAGAGAAATAAGAAGATGCATTTTGAGATTTCCTTTGAAGTTAAATTTGTCCATTATCAAGTGCTACTTCAAGTTGAAAAAAGTCCAGGCCTTTATCTACAAATTTAAGGTTTGCAGCAAAGCCACAGTGATGCAAAAAGGCAACAGAAGAAGGAAAGAAAACTTTTATGTAAATAGAGTTAACTTTTATATAAATATAATGGCTGGTGAAGATGATGTAGCTCAAAGCAGGATTAACAATGAATTCAGGAGCTTTCTCTTCATGTGAACACAACCAGGTCACAGAGATGTGGAACAACTGCACACACACAAATAGAGAAGATGTAATTCATAAATACAAGTACACAATGAATGTCCTACTGTGTGGTTCAAAATTTTCATTAGAAAACAATCATAGATCATTCACTGTGTAATAAAGTAACCTCTATGCCACACACACAAAAAAATTGAATATTATGTTTTCAGAAGTGGTCATACATCTCTTGCTCAAGGTCTGTTTTCAGAGTCGAAAGCTGGTTCAGATAATCTCTCTCCTTTTCAGCTGTCCCGGTCAGTTGGACTTTCAAATCGTGGATTTCCTTCTGCAAAGAGAAGAGTTTTGAGTTTACACAAAAAAACCCTACAACTGGTGAAAGTTGTGAGGTGATCTGAGAGCAGGGAGATTTCAGCTGAGCCCAGCAACACCCACACCACAGATTATCCACACTACATCTTCACATCTCTCTGGTGGAGTGAGATAGTGAATTCTGATGTGAGTCCAATTAACCAGCTGCAAAATTACTGACTAAATCAGTTTTCTTGGATATGATTTTAAATAAAAGCATTCACTTCAGACATCATCAGCTTCTGTGTTCACCTGAACAAAAAAAGACTAAAAATAAACCCCAGAATTCCAGTCCTATGTGAGAGAAAAGCAACTGGCAGGGATGTGTCCTCATCCCTAACATAGATCCTGTGGGAAGGGAGCAGAGGCTCCTCCAGGACATCTCCTGCTGCCACTGCCACCAGCAGGGCAGCTCAGGGTGGGCACTGCCCTGACTAAAAGCTCTTTCTGATGTTCTTGTACATAAATTATAACATGTAACTTAACTATTTCTGAAAACATGTAACTATTGCCCTTTCACCAGACCTCTCTCATCTGAAGGACATTTTTGGTTTCTTCTTCTCTCCTCTGCAAACTTTCCAGAGTGGCCTCGAGCTCCTCCTTCTTCAGCAGAAGTCCTTCCATCTTCCCCTGGTTCAGAACATCAGAAAATTCAATGCACAGGTAATAAGGAACAAACTGACAGTGTTGAAATGCACACCTGGTTTCACACTATCCTACTTTAGCTGCTGCAGTCTCTTGTTAGACTTGTGAATATGAAATCATAATGAAAATAAAATTCTTATGAAATTATCTACTTCACATAGCTTAGACTGCTGGGGCAGACAATGGGCCTGTGCAGGAGGGTTCACTGACAATTTACCCAAGTAAAAAATTGACTTCTCTACAAGTAAGACAAAAACTGGGAAATCTTTATGGCCAGAGGGAGTGGCATTTCAATAGGTGTGAATGGAGAAGGAGATGACTGGAAATCTTAACGAGGAAAACCAAAACAAGGCAGAAACAGGACAAGAAAAACAGTGGAAATAATCAAGTCCTTCAGAGAAACCACTGAAATTGTGTGTTTACCAGAAACATTAAGGCAGAATAAGCAGTGTTTAGATATGGCATTAAACATACTTAAAAAGCAAGAGAAATTTCATATGAGAAGTAAATGCCATGAGACAAATAAAATGAACATTTACCAGTGTTTCTGACAGCTCTTCAAGTTGCATTTCTTTGTCACATTTTAGTTTAGTCATCTCTTCTACAACACATGCAATGTAAAATTAGTGGAACAGAAAGAATTATTCACATTTAGCAGGCAATAGAAAACAATTATCCCCTTGCAACACCCATTTTCAAAACTTGTTGGACTAAATTCAGAAACTGCAAAGCTGACTTATGACTTAATCTAAATGTAGAAAAATGATTAAGAAAGACACTAGCAAATATGCATCTGAAGAGGAACTAATCATTTATCTGATGTAAAATTCAGAGCCTCTCATGGTTTCCACAATTACATCTTCAAACAAACCACGGACTGTGGAGAGGGAGGCAGGTGAGTAAAAATAAATTGGAGCATTCCTGACAGGTACAGGTACTGTAAAATCATTTCTCCAAGCAACACCGACAGTCCATTGCCAGAAAACAGCAGGAAACATCTCCTGCCTTTCTACAGCTCTTACCCAGTTCAGCAGATTTATTTCTGAGCTCCAAGGTGAGCAGTTTTGACTTGTCTTCGTATTTCTCTGATCTAAGAAAATGGCAATTAAAAAAACCCCACATGTATAAACAAAACACTTCATTCAAAACTTGAAGGACAATAAGACCAAGTCTTACCACAAGCACCGCAAGAACATTGGCCTTTTAACAGGCAGATGGTTTATCTGCCTGCAACACATATCAAGTTTCACTTTCACAACTTCAGAACAACAGATATAAAAGTAAATAAATATTTACATGCAGAAATCTGTATTTCTTAAAGACAGAATTATGAAGGGGGGAAATGTACTCTTTTAATAGACTAGTATCAACCAGCACAACTGAAAAAAAATCACATTAAAGCCTCTGCATTTGGACAACTGTGACAAAAAAACTCTGAATTTCAGCTTCACATCCGATTGTTCTTGATTTTGTCACAAACTGCAACCTACAAGACCATCCTTTGAACTTCAAAACTTTTCAATTTACCTATTTTGCTCTTTTTGCAGCAAGCTTTTCAAACTGGCAATGGAAGCCTCAAACTCTGCTGTCAGGGCTGCATGCAAGGCTTTAGTTTTTTTACATTCCTCCTCCTGTGCTTCTTTTTCTTCAGTGACCTGAATTAATGTTTTCACTGTGGTCTGGAATTCGTTCTCTAAGCTCTTTTGAGTAACCTTCAAAAAATCATATCATTTCTTAATGTGCTTTGCAACAAAGAGCTAGAGTTGTTTCACACCTAGAGTATCAGTAATTAGTTGTGCAATCACTCATTTAATCTCTTCGTGCTGGAAAACCATAAGCAAGCTGTACCTCTGCCTTCTGCAATGAAGTTTTGGCCTCCTCCAGTTCTGACCTCAAACGTTCTTGATTGGCCTGGGATTCCTTGAACATTTCTCCTTCAATGCAGAAAGATGGATGCTTATATTTAGGAAAAATAGGGTATTTACTAAAAAATGCTGCTAAAAATGTAAAATGACACACACTCACAGATTTTAACAAATTCTGGCATCATATACTACTAATATTTTGAATATAAATGGCTTAAAAATATTGAAAATGAAGTTCTGAAGAGTAAGTTTCCTCCTCAGTGGCACCTGCCTGACTGTAAATATGCAAAACCCAAGCAATGTATTTTCCCCCTTGCAATCTTCAAAAGCCCTCACCGCTCGAGTGGCCCTAAAAATCAGTTCTGATCCCACATCAGCAGTTTCTGTTCCAAACAAAACTAAGGCCTGCAAGGCCCCAAAATTCTGCTGCTGACCAATAACAGAGTGAAATTCTCATGATCCTGTTTCCCACACTTCTCCAAACAATCACATACTACCCCAGCAGGGAGAACTCTTACTTTTTTCTTCTATTAAGCCAGCAATCTGATTTTGTGATTCCTGCAGCTGAGCCTGGATGTCTCTTATCACATCATCTTTTTCATCACTCTGGGTGATAAGAACTGAAATCTGGCAAAATCAAAATGATATCGTGAGGAATTCTAGAAAAAGAACAGATTGCAACTTCCATTTGTGCCCCAGGAGTGACAAGCAGACTTTCTGCTGTGACTCTGTGAGTACAGAGAAGTTGGTTGGTCTTTGCCAAATATCCCTCAAGACACGAATGAAAAAGTTCTCCAAAATCAAACCATGAATTCTGACCAACCAAAGGGACTGGGACATCATGCAGCAGGATCTGACTGAAGTGCAGCTCCAGCTGTTATTTTTGCCTTTTTTAGCAATGCCCAGAAACTCCCTGGGCCTTGCACTACCCCTTTATTCACGAATAAAGCTGTTAATATTAGATTGTAAAAGTGAGCAAACCTGCTCTGCCTTCTGACTGACTTCCAGCTTGCATTCTCTTTTGAACTTGTCCATTTTTTCTGCTTCTTCTTTTACTTTGGAGATACAGTAATATCCACAGTTAACATTCTAGCTGAAAGATACTCCAAGTTCAATGCAATTTTCCAGTTTAAGATTGCTTGCCATTGTACAATTTGCTTCCTAAAGAGCAATTGTTGACATAATGCTTGATTTTTTTGCCAGTTTTCCATAGAATTAGTCCATTATTCCATGTTTCTTACAGGAAACTGCCAGGAACACCCTTGTAAAGATTAAACAGGCACATAGAAGCCTATATAAAGGAAGTATTTAATGAAGTTCCTGTAGCTCAACACTAGGGCATTATCAGTTAAATACACCAACTACATAAAATAAGTAGTGATCTGCAGATTGTGCTTCACAGAGAAACCTTGGGCTTTGAGTGACTATTCCAAAAACAAAGTTCCAAATTTGGCCCAGGGGAACAACAGAAGGGCCCAGGCAGTGAATGGCAGGCAGCAGGAATAAAAGTGGGTCCCAGTGTCACCTGCTCACCAGCTGAGCACTTCACACCTGCCTGCCCCGGCACTGCAGGAGCAACAAAAGCCACGAACAACCAAACTGCTGTTCCTGAAGAACAAGCACAACAAAGAGAACCCTCACGTTTGAAACTCATTTCCAGTCTGTCGTTCTCCGCCTGCACGCGAAGCTCTTCGAACGCCGCCGTCATTCTCTGAAAAAACAAAAAAATAAAAAAATAAAGAAAATTCAGCATTTGAAGTTCAGATGAATCATCCACAGGTGAGGGACACAATAGTATCCCCCCTAAAAAAGCAGGTAGCTCAGCTCAGCACACCCCTGTAGCTCACACTGCAGCACCTCGCTCACCTCGACGTTGCTGTGGAGCTCCTCGTACAGCTGTCTCGTCTCTTCTCTCTCCTGTTCATCTGTCAAAGCAAGAGTTTTCCTCTTGAAAAGAGTGCCAGCTGCCCAAGCCACTATGCTTAATCAGAATAATTAATTAAAAGAGGAATTATCAGCTCTTTTTTTATTAAAAAACAGTAATTATGAATCAGAGTGCCAGAAGTTATACAATCTAGGGAAAATGTATGTTCCATTGAAACACCAAGCAAGTTCAGTTTTTAAATTTCTTTCCCAATCTCACTTTTTCTGTGAAAAGTGTAATTCTGGATCAATTTTCATAACTATATTAATTCTTATACTATTAATGTTGTTGAATATTAATGTATCAAAAGTGTTAGTGTTTGATAAACTCTAATATAGAGTTTAGCACTAAATTTCTTCCCATCAGCAGAGACACCTGTGACCTCAGAACTGTCATTAGAGACTCGTGACAACATCCCCTGTCCACATTTTCCTTTTTTTCTTTCATTTTTATAATTGATACTATTTTTCCCTAAGAAAACAATCATAGAGGAGATCAGTAGGAAACACAGCTATCAGAGAAGAACAGTGTATCCATACACAGGTGTTTCTAGAATTAAGGCTGAAAAGAAACAAGACACTTCTTAAGTATCTGGGATGGAGTCAGGAAAAGTTTAACGATTACAACACCAATTCTGAATTGCATATAAACCAAAATCCCCAGTCCAGAACATCTTTCAGACCCTCATTAATTTAATCTTCATTAAGTTCTCCAGCTGTCCTGGCTGGGTCAGCTTTAGTGAGGAGAATGCTGGTCACTCTGGGGTTGACATCACAGAGCATGTGTGTCACACCCACGGCCTCACTTCCAGCTTTGGGAGCCACCTCAAATCCACTTCTCCTTTTAAGAGCCACAAACAGTCCATCTGAACCACAGAGCACAACCAGAACAGTGTGACAGCTTCTCTCTGCTGGGGAGAAACACACTGGCTTTTACAAATCCAAATCCAAAAGGCATTTACATCTGTCAGTCTTCTCCGTGAAGTGAGTGCAGGTCTCCTTGAGCAGATTGCACAGATGCCTCGAAGCTGTGCTTCTGAAAGAGGGAGAAATAGCATTACATGTTGTCACCAGAGTGCAGTGTTTCGTGTACCTAAGGAGTAACAGTGTAAATAACCTTTACAATTTACCAGCTCTGTGTAACTGCCCACACCAACACAGTCCTCAGCATGAAAGCTAATTATTTTCACCCCCTCCCCCCAAAAAAATTTTGTCTCTATTACTTACTCTTTCAAGAGATCTTTCTTTTCACACAGCTCATCTTCCAGTTTTAAATGGAGTTTTTCATTTTCAAACTAATTTCATAGGGAACAAATACAAAAAGACATTGTTACTGAAAAATATAGCAGAAATACACTGTGACTTCTCAAAAAAAAAAGGAATTTTGTGGTCAGAAGACAGAGGTCTGTTTTATCTGGTATCACATGCTGGGTCATCTTTTGCATGAAAGGCATAATAATAATAAATGATAATTTACCAGCAACCGAATCACTTGCAGGTGTGTTCCTCATACACACATTCACACAGGACAGGTGCAAACCCCTTCTTAAATAACCATTTGCTCAAGGCACGAATCAAACTGCAACACTCAACTGTCTGAATAATATTGTGACACTGAATCAGGAGGCACCTTCTCTTAACTCCATCTATTCAGTGGGTATTGTACAATACTGGCCTGCAGTTCCTGAATGGTTTTACGCTGTGCTTCGATAATATTTCTGTTTTCTTGCAGTTTTCTTTCTTTCTGATTCAGTTCTGATTCCACACTCAGTTTCCACTGCTTGATCTTCTCAGCCTCTTTGTAGAGTTTCGAGTACAATTCGTTCATTGTTTCTATATTCTATTAAAACAGGTTTTACAGTTTAATCTCAAGGGCTATTTAATTAATAATGTTGCAGATAGCATATTTATCTCTTAGAAGGGAGTAATTTTTTTTCCACAGATGGTGACACAAGCTCTACATACAATCAGGAGCCAAAGTTTAAATCTTTGGGCATCCACTGTGTCTGTAACAACACACATTACAGAGAAAGGAGAAGACTCAAACACAAGTGAAAAACCCCCATCTGCCTTCAGACTGTGAAGAAACGAGCTTTACTAAAGCAGTAAAATGCTGGTAAAGATGCTATGAAAAGAATCCAGTGCTTGAGGAAACCACCAAATTCATTGTTTTACCGATAAAATAAACCCAGACCAGAGCACTGGGATAATCTACTTCAGTTTTCCAAAGGATACTCTGACTTCAGTCCTTCTGCCTTTCAACAACCACTTCCACAAAGATAGCTAAGTGTTCAAGTCTTACTCTGATTAAAACTCCCAGACTGCCCAGACACTTAAAAAAAAAACCCAAACCAAAATTAACAAACAAACTCGGAATCACCGTAATTTTTAAAGGTTTGTCTCCAGGCTTGTTCACTAAATCACAAACATCTCCTCTAAGTGATTCACTTTTAAATAAGAGACAGAACATGATTATTCCCTTCTGACTATTTCCTTTAGTCCTAAGTGATCCACTGAATAATGCTTTGGGCACTGCCTGGGAAGAAATTAAGAGGCCCTAAGAAGTTGATATGCAGAATTGATACTTAGCTGACCTCTTCATCTACTTCAGAGCAAAGTTTTACTTGCTGTGACAGTGTAGCTGAAAGAGGAAAAGATTTTGATCAATGCATTTCTAAAAAAAAAGTGTCAGTGAAACTGTATTTAACAGCATTACAGCTGTGAAACTGTTGAGGCTACTCATGAATATTAAAACTCGACAACATTAAAAAAACGAAAGAGGGTGCAAGGTAAATGCTTCTTTTAGTCTTACCTGGATCAGTGATTTCCCCACGGTTCAGGGTACGGAATGGCAACTTAAAATCGTCCCCTGGGCATTTGTTAAAACCCTGCACAGATTTTAAAATGAGCTTCTTACAGGTAGGTTTGCAAAGAAGGATTATAAAATCCAGAAAAAAAAAAAAAAAAAGTACAGCTAACGTGAAAATAGAATTTTTCATTAAGGAAGCAACTAACTACAGTTTGCAAAGCCCAAGGTGTTGGTAAATGCCTTTGGGTTATCAAACTGTTGGTCTGCTGTAGTTTGCTTTATAGACTGAGGCCAAAGGGGAAGCTTTTGATGCAGAGCCCTCAGCAGCTCTTGCCTGTCAGTGCACGGGTGCAGGGTGAAGGACTCAGGAAGCAAAATTATTTCTTTGAAGGCCAGTAGTCGATATTTGTTTTTTGCTTTACTTCCCAGGGCATCTCTAAACCACACGTGATTACGTTTTAGCACGAAAATGTCCTTTTACAAGGTTTTTGGGAACAGAAATGCATCTCCTATTAGAGTATCCCATTTGAATCTAAACAGATTTCGAAAGGAGCCTCGACATGAAAAAACAACTTGTTGAATTTACATAATTCAGTGTGGTAACCGAACATTTTCACTGCACCCTTGATCTGGTGAGAGCAAAACATCAAAGCTCCCGTGAGCAGCCGAGTGGGGGCACTGCTCGCTCACTGTGCTGAATTACTCACATCAAACGTGGATTTATCACCAGCGATGTACAATTCAGAGCAGATGCCCGAGAAGGTGATTCCCTTCAGTTTTGATAGGAAACAACAGGGAAAGTCTTTGAAATAGAAACTGAAGATGTTTTCCCCCAGCACCAATCTTAGCTGTGTATATATATTGACTTTAGCGCACGGGCTTTCCCACACGAGTTTGTGTGTGTGTGTTTGCTTCAATTCAGGGTTCTACTGGGGGACTCCCTGGACAGAGCACCGTCCCCGTGTCCCCGGGAGGGGCCCCTGCGCTCTCCCAGCGCCCCCTCCTCAGCCACGGCCCCCAGAGCAGCACAAACCGGGGGGGGCCCACGGTGCCCACAGCCCCGCGGGCCGAGCGCTCACCTGGCTTCTGACCGCAGGCAGCTGCCCAGCGCTCAGACGCGGCGGCACGAACAGTTTAAACTGCTTGTCTTTCTCCATGGCCTCGGAGAAAAGGGGCGGGCGGGTCGGCAGCCCCTTCCCCGGGGGGTTCGCTGAGGGGAACGGGGATGAAAAGGGCGGGAAGCGCTGAGGGCCCCTCAGAGCAGCGCGGGTGGCGCCGCCCAGCGGAGCTGCGGCCGCTCGGGCTGAGGGGCCCGGCCGGGAACGGCCCCGGCGCTTGATAAAGGGCGATCAAAAATATAAAAATATAAAGCAATAATACAAGATTGTGGCCTTAGTTGCATACTAGCTAATTTTTAGGTAGAATCAGGATAGGGGGGCCTTGCTTGCTCGTGCTGACTCACAGACTGACATGCTGATTCACATAGTTAATTTTGTAATGAAGACTTCAGCGGGCACAGAAAACCTTAAGAGTTTAGATTTAAGGGGCTTTGAAGCTCGTGAGAAAGAGAGCTTGAAAGCTGATAAAGAGAAGCTCCTGAAGAAGACACCAGTTTTGAGTTAATCGGACAGTGCCAACTCAGCAGTTCTTAGCAAAGGTAGAAAATTCAAGCCGAGGAAGGTTTCTTATTTCATCCAAAAGACCCCCGAAAGAAAACCCCAAGGTGGGGAGGTCCGAGGCGCAGTTATAGGAGTGGTGGATGTTAATGATTTCCCCTCCCACTCGTCTGGAATTTGCTGACACAGCCAATGCACACTTAACACAACTAATGTGTGTGTAATACCCCTAATGCACACGTAACATTATACTGCATAAAAAGAGCTGAACAAAGGCCATGGGCGTGCGTGACCGGAGGAATTATCCGTGAATAAACACCCCTGCTGCAACACTCCTGGTGAGTTTTGGGGTTTGTTTCCTCGAGTCACGCCGCGGGAGGGGGACCTCGGGCAGCGCCCTCGTGGTCGTGGCCGCCTCCTCGCCCGTGGCCACCAAAAGGGTCTCTGGGGTGGCCCCCGGGTGGGAATTGTCGCCAGCTGAGGGGGGACACACAGCGGGGTCCTCGCTGTCGCGGGGGGGAGAGGGAGAGGTCGGGGGGAAGGGGAAGGTGTCCCGCCTGTGCAGGGGATAGATAGGGGAGACCCCTTCTCCTGTGACACCCCCTGGGCCGCCCGGGGGTGGAGGAGAGTTCTGCGGGGGCCGGAGGGGTCGGTGCGGAACGAGGGGTCCGGCGGGGAAGGGGGTGGGGGGTCACAACAATAAACAAGGGAGACCTATGGATCCATTGTCCTGTGTCACCCCCCAAACCCCCCACGGACCACGCGGGGGTGGAGGAGAGTCCCGGGGGGGAACAGGGGCGTCCTGCGGGGAAGCCGGGAGAGGGGGCACCTGCACCGAGAATAAAGAGGTGACACTAATTATCCTGTGACACCCCCCTGGACTCACCTCCACCTCTGAGGGGTTTCGGGGGTCGCTGTGGGGCTGGAGGGGCTTCAGCCTGGGCGTCTGCAAGGGTCTGAGCAGGAGATGGCTCTGCCCCTTCGTGGGTGGGAGCCACATGGGGGAAATGGGGCTCAAGGGGGGGGGCCCATCAGAAGCAAGCTTTTGGTTTAGGCTGTTTTGACAAACAACTGTGCTAAAATGTTCCTTCCTATCATACAGGAAAAATAATTCTTAATTAAAAGCAGGCATCTGCACCAGAAATCTGCGATCAGGCATTCAACATACGGCCAAGATAAGACTTTAAATTGAATCAGCTCTTTTAATACATACATTTAACAATCTATAGACTGAGGACTACTCAGTAAGTAAATTCAAAACTTTTATTTGTTGAAAGTATCTGGATGGGACTTGTCCTGGTTTCAGCTGGATAGAGTTAATTGATTCTCAGTTGCTGTTACAGTGCTGTGTTTTGGATTCAGAATGATGATACACTGATGTTCTGGGGGGTTGCTGAGTTGTCAAGCCTTATTTCATTGTATTTTATTTTATTGTATTTTTTTCTGATGCTCTGCCAGGGAGGAAGGTCACAGAAGAAACTGGGAGGGAGTGTAGGTGGGACTGGTGACCCAAACTGACCAAAGGGATATTCCACCCCCAGAACACTGTGCCCAGTGTAAAAACTGGGGGAAGTTACCCCAGGAGCCAACCTGGGATTGGGAAAGGGGGTCTGGCATCAGTCAGGTCCACAGGTGGTGAGTGAGCAATTGCATTGTTCATCACTTGGGGTTTTTTCCCCTTTTTTTTAATTATTATTATTTGCCATTATTGTTGTGTTTTACTTTATTTTCAGTTATTAAACTGTTCCTATCTCCATATACAAGTTTTACTTAGACTCTCCTCCCCTTTCCACTGGGATGAGGAAAAAGAAGGGAGGGCTGTGTGGTGTTTTAATCTCTGGACTGTGTGGTGTTTTAATCTCTGGGTTTAACCTCCTGGATGCAACCCAGACTCATCCCAGGCATCTCCTGGAGCCTTTTCAAAGCTCTGCTAAGGAGCTGATGTCCCAGGCAGCAGCCCCAGCCCCCTCCCCAAGGCAGGTACCCATGGTGAGTTTTTTTTCTTCTGAAGGAAAAGGTCTTATCTGGGATCCAGCTGGAGCCTTCTCAAGCATTATCTTGATTTGGGGACCTGGAATCACAGGATCAATTAGGTTGGAAGAGACCTCTGAGATCATCAAGCCCAACCTATGACCGAATACCATTGTGTCAACCAGACCAGGGCCCAGTTTTTCCTTAAACACTTCCAGGGATGGTGACTCCACAACCCTGGTGGGGCCTCAGACTCTCCCCTGGAAGCTGCTTGAGATGATATTTTGCTTTTATGGTAAATTGTATCCTACTGAATGCTCCTGAGACTCATCCCAGGCATCTCCTGGAGTCTTTTCACCCCTCAAGGGAGCCAAGTTCCCAGGGAGCAGCTCCAGGCTCTTCCAAGGTTACCAAAGTTACCTGAGATGATTTTTCTTTTTTTCTGTGCATCCCATAACTTTCAGGATCTACCTGAGACTCCTCCTAGGATTCTCCTGGAGTCTTTTGATCTCTGATTTTGGGCCCTGAGTTGCTCACCGTGGGCCCAGAATCTTCCAAGGAAGGTTTCCAATAAGTTTTTTTTTTTTCCTTTGAAGGTAAATTTTTGCTCTGGAATCCACTTGAGACTCCTCTCAGGTGTGTCCTGGAGTCTCCCCAAGGAAGATGAGTTCCCAGAAAGCAGCCCCAGATTCTTCCAGGGAAGCTTCCCAATGTGTTTTTGCTTGTTTGGAATTAGCTCTCTGTTCTGAGATGCACTTGAAACTCCTCCTGACACCTCTCAGAGCCTTTTCATCTGTTGATTCAGACAATTGATATCCTGGGTAGAAGCTCCAGGTCCTGAGATGATTTTTCTGTTTTTTTTTTTTTACAGCTGGACCCTTCTCAAACATTACCTGGAGTCTTCATCTTGGATTTGGGGACCTGAAATCCCAGGTAGCAACCCCCTGCTCCAGGGATGGTTCCAGGGACGATTTTTTGCTTTCTCTAGTTCTGGATCTTCCAGGATCTATCTGAGACTCCTCCCAGGCTCCTCCTGGAGTCTTTAGCTCTGATTTCAGTATCTGAAATCCTGTGTATCAGCTCCAGACTCCTCCAGGGCAGTTACCCAAGATGTTTTTATTTCATTAGGAGATGCTGCGTCTTCAGGATCTACCTGACACTCCTCCCAGGCATCTCCAGAGTCTTCACCTCTGATTCTGGGATCTGAATTCCAGGATATCAGCCTGAGATTCCTCCCAGGCATCTTCCAGAGTCTTCACCTCTGATTTTGGGATCTGAATTCCAGGATATCAGCCTGAGACTCCTCCAAGGCAAGTAGCTGAATTTTTTTTTTTTTTTTTTTTTTTTTTGTGGAACCTGAATCTTCCCAAGACTCTTCTTGGCATCTCCTGCAGTCTTTTCACTCATGTCCCCTTGGTCCCAGGAGGCCTCTCAGTGTCACAGTGGCCCCTGGGCACCCTGAGGCCCCCCATCCCACAGCCCTGGCAGTTGCCATGGAGATGCCCATGCCCCAGACTGGCTGGAATCAGCCTGAGCAGCCCCTTCCAGCACAGCCCCTCCCCATGGATCCCTTTCAGCTGCTCTTGGGCACCTTTTACCCATCAGGGAGCGTGTGGGGATCCCCTTGGAGAGGCCCAGGCACCTCCACGGTGCTGACCCCACCCAGAAGGTGGGGGAATGTTTGGTTCTGGGCCTGGCAGCTCTCTGGTTCCTCCAGGTGTGCCAGGGCTCCTGTGGGACGTGGGTGGTCACTCTGTGGGCCAGTGCAGCTCCGTCCCTGCCCTTCCCAGCCCTGTCCTCAGAGCCCAAGTGCCACCTGGTGCCAGCTCTTGTCACACCTGGGTTCCCTCACCCAGGTAACCCGTGCATGGGGACCAGCAGTGCCCCTTGGCCACACTGGGGTACACTTGCTCCTCTTCCTCCTCCTCTTCCTCCAATCCCTCCTCCTTCCCCTTTCTCCTCAGTTCCACCTCCTTTCTGGGGTTTGGGGTGTTGAACTGGAGACCCCCAGGTGCTCACAGAGAGTTGTCCCCACTTTCTACTTTAGGTGGTGGTTCTGGTGGGACCTCAGCTCCTTGTGGCTCTTCCTGCAGCCAGAGAACTTACAGGGACCCCTCTCCAAGTGGGTCCTGCAGGTGTTCCCTGAGCTTTGGGCTCATGGTAAACCCTTCCCATAGTTTGGGCATCTCGAGGGTCTCCCCACTGTGGATTCACTGGGGCCTGAGGCTGGAGCTTCTCCCAAAGCTTGTCCTGCAGTGAGGGCCCACGTAGGGTCTCTGTCCTGGGAGATGGGACCTCTGGGCAAAGCTTGGGCACACACAGGACCTCACCCCAAGAGGGATCCTGTGATGGGAAGTCAGGTCTGTGCTCTGGCCAAAGCTCTTCCCACAGGAGATCAATCTCTTGCCATGATGGCAAATTTGGTGCTCCCACCCCCCTCCAGCTCTGTTTAGGGGTCTCACTCCAATTTTCCCCCCCTCTCCCACCTTTTTCCCATCATCACCAAGTCCCCAGCCCACCCCTTTGCACTAAGTTTAGTGGTCCCACTCCCCTATCCCTCTCTTTCCCCTTCCTCTCCCCCTCCTTTCTCGTCATCCCCCCAATCCTCAGCACCTCCAGCCCCTCCCCAAATTTGCTGGGGGGGAGGGGGTGGCTCCAGCGGGGGCCTGCCTGGCAACTGATGAGTCATCAGCGTCGTGCACTCTGATTGGCTGAGTGCTGCTTTAGTGCTCCAGGTGGGATGTCCATCAAACCTGGGATCCCCACGAGCCACTTCCAACCCCCCAAAATTGGGGGCTATTACCCCTCCCCCAGCCATCGCTGCAGCCACGGGGTCACCTCAACCCCCCAAAATGATGGGGGGACCTCCAAGAGCCATTTATAACCCCCCAGATTGGAGGAAAGCAGCAGGATCTTCAACAAAATGGGGGAACCTCCCCCTCCCAAAATGAGTGTAGGGTCACCTCGCCTTCCCACATTGGGAATGGCTCACCTCAACCACCCAAAATTCATGGGAAATCCCCAAAAGCTGTTTATAACCCCCAAAACTGGCAGAAAGGAGCAGGATCCTCCCCTAAACAGGCTCCCAGGGTCCCTCTCTGTGGGGGCCCACTTCAAGTGCTGGCACCACAGGTCTCCCTGTTTCCACTTCTCTCCCCCCTCAGGATTGGGGGGCACCCCAAAACCCCTCAGGAATTGGGAATAACCCCAAATCCCTTCAGAAATGGTGGATATCTCAAAAGCCCATCAGGAATGGGTCTCCCACAGCCTAATCATGTTCAGTCCTTGGCTGTCGAATTCCAGACTCCACCCCACCCATCCTCCCCGTCCAAACCCCATTCTGGGGTGGGCTTGAGCCACTTTCAGTTGGGATTGAGTCATTTTGAGGTGATGGATTGATCCCTGATCCCTCTTGGCTTCTGGGATGAAAAGCAATGGAGAACCCCCCCCCAGACCCTCCCAAATATTACCCCGAAGCCCAAATTCCTCCAATCCCAGTAAAATGGTGGGGTTTTAGATGTCCTTGTTCAATTTCACTATTTTTATTTCAGGGGTTTTAAGAGATGAAGATGAATCAAAAGAAAATGAAGGCCAAAATAAAAGATTTACTTGTTGATGCTGTGTGAGTATCCCTGTGGTTGGGTTGGGCTGGGTGGGTGGAAGAGCCTTTTCTAGAGGTGTTTCCACCCCAATCCATCACCATTTGTCTGTGGAAGACACCCACAGACCACAGAGAATTAACATCATGGAATTATTTCGGTTGGAAAAGACCTCCAAGATCATCCAGCGTTGTTTGGTACCACCAGAAGAAATCATGGATGGAGCAGATGAGTTTTCTCTGGGGACTGAAGTCAACAAATCTGTTCTCTCCAAATGAAAGGGAAAAGCATCCTCTGGGGTCCACCTGAGACCCTTCCCAAAAATTCCCTGGGGTCTTGGTCTCTGATTTGGGGACCTGAAATCCTGGGTAGCAGCTCCAGACTCACTCAGGGAAGCTGCCCAAGAGGATACTGCTGTTTTACACAAAATTGTATCCTCCTGGATGCACCCCAGACTCCTCCCAGGCATCTCCCAGAATCTTTTCACATCTGCTCTAAGGACCTGAGATCCCAGGTAGCAGCCCCAGATTGATCCAGGGAAGCTGTCCAGGATGGTTTCATGCAGGGAAAGGGGAATTAGAGAGGGACTCATCAGGAACTGCAGGGACAGGATAAGGAGTGATGAGCACAGACTGAAAGAGGGGAAATTTAGGCTGGATATCAGGAGGAAGTTCTTTACTGTGAGGGTGGTGAGGCACTGGCAGAGGTTCCCCAGGGAGGCTGTGGATGCCCCAGCCCTGGCTGTGTTCAAGGGCAGGTGGGACAGGTCCTTGATCAACCTGCTCTAGTGGGAGGTGTCCCTGCACATGGCAGGGGGGGTTGGGACTGGATCATCTTTAGGGTCCATCCCAACCTACATGGGGTGACAGGTTTATTGTTGGACCAGATGATCTTGAAGGTCTCTTCCAACCTTGTGTGACCTGTCATTACTGTCTCCAGGTTTGTCTTCTAAGAAGCTCCTGAGGGGGGTCCTCAGTAGGACTTATTAGAACTACAAGAAACGTTCATCATTTCAGTCTGACTTTGGCTTCTCCAGAGGTTTCTCCTGCCTTCCCCAAGGTCTGAGGTTCAGGGACTCAGCACCAACCCACCTGAGGGTGAAGAAATGCCTGGGGCTGTGCTGCTGAGCTGGGAGGGCTCCTGGCACACAGGGAGCTCCTGCAAACCAAGAACAGCTTCAAAGAGACAGCTCTGCCCAGTGAGCAGCTCCTCTGCACAGCCCAGCAGGGCTGAGGGCACTGCCAGGGCAGCTCAGGGACACCAGCAGGGCAGAGCCAGAGCCTAAAGGTGTTCAGGACTGGCAGGATGACTGAGAGCTCCCTGCAGGAGAAATCTTGGCAGTGCTGGCCACAGTAAGTGTGTGGGTGCAGGGCTTGCTGTGCTCAGGAAGTGCTGGAGGAGTTCCTGGAGGCTTCTCCTCAAGCTGCAACAGCCACAGCTCACAGGACCTGCGAGGAGGGGGCTGTTCTGGGGCACTTTGGAAGAGCTGTGAAGCCGGGGGTGCAGCCAGGGGTGCCCAGGGCTGTGGGGCAGAGCAGGGTCCTGCAGCCCAGGGCGCTGTGCTGGGCACACTCTGCTGCCTGCCAGGGGCAGCTCAGCCGGCCTGAGGAGACGCTCCCAGGGCTGCAGGGACAGAAGCTCCATGGGGAAGGAGGCAGCCTAAAAGTCTTGGAAGTGTTCTTGCCTTGCAGGGGATGCTGCATCGCTCAGGGTGTGGCTCCATCCCAGCTCCATGAACTGCAGGACATTTCCAAGGGGATGGTTCAGGGAGCACAGCAAGGCAGGGGCTGCAGGAAGGGGCAGAATTCTGCTTTTGTCACCTTCTCTTCTGGGTTGCCTGGATGGGCAATTGAGATTCATCTCTCAGTTCACTGTGAGATGCTGGAAATCCAAATTGTCTTCTCCCAGAGGTGAATAAAGCAGGCAGGGTCAGGAAGCAGCACATGGTGCCTCACAGGCAGCATCAGTGTGGCTTTTGCAGCCTCCTCAGGGCTGCTCTGCCTTTGCCATCAGAGCCTGCCCAGGCAGAGCTGCCCCTGGGCAGTGCCCTGTGCTGCTGGGAGGGCTGTGCAGGGCAGAGCTGAGCCCCCAGGGCTGGAATGGGCTCTGGCAGCACCGTGTGAAATCAGTGTGAATGCAGCAGGAAGGAAAACACAGGGCAGATGGGAAACAGAGTGATGGACATGCAGCTTTCCTGGCTGTGAGCTGGGCCACAGAGAGCTGAGCTCTTGGGCCTGGCCTGTCTCGTTTATTCACATTTTGAGTCATAAAAGTGAGGATTTCAGAAAAGAACACTGACCAGATACGGTGTTAGAAAATGAAAAATACAGACAAAATCATGCTAAGCATGTGTTAAATCTCTCTTCTACAGCCCACACTCTTGCCAGTCATGAGTATAGAAATTGAACTTTTTTATTAAAGATGGATTACATCTGACATATCTTGTGAACAGCAGAGCTGTCAGAAACCAGCTCCATGTACTCCCAGCAGCAGCACAGAACCTCCTCCTTGAGAGCTGATGGACCTTTTCACACCTTAACCAGAGAATGGATATCCATTTTGTCTTGGGGGGCAAAATTCTATAAGAAATGGACTCACTTTGCCTGCAAAGTCTGCCCTGATTTGCAGTGATTTTTCATACTTTCCATGCCCCATATCCAGAGACAGCAGATGCCCAACAGCAGCTCCATGGCCCAGTTCCTCCTCCTGCCACTGGCAGACAGGCAGGAGCTGCAAATCCTGCACTTCTGGCTCTTCCTGGGCATCTCCCTGGCTGCCCTCCTGGGCAACGGCCTCATCATCACTGCCATAGCCTCTGACCAGCACCTGCACAGCCCCAGGGACTTCTTCCTGCTGCACCTCTCCCTCACAGACCTGGGCTGCATCTGCACCACTGTGCCCAAAGCCATGCACAACTCCCTCTGGGACACCACAACCATCTCCTACACGGGATGTGCTGCTCAGCTCTGGTTCTTTCTTTTCTTTATAACAACAGAGCTTTCCCTCCTCACCATCATGTGCTACGACCGCTACATTGCCATCTGCAAACCCCTGCACTACGGGACCCTCCTGTGCAGCAGAGCTTGTGCCCACATGGCAGCAGCTGCCTGGGCCACTGGGTTTGTCAATGCTCTGCTGCACACAGCCAATACATTTTCAGTACCTCTCTGCCAAGGCAATATTTTGGACCAGTTCTTCTGTCAAATCCCTCAGATCCTCAAGCTCTCCTGCTCACACTCAGGCAACCTCAGGGAAGATGGGCTTATTGTGGTTGGTGCCTGTTTATCATTTGGCTCTTTCATTTTCATTGTTTTCTCCTATGTGCAGATCTTCAGGGCTGTGCTGAGGATCCCCTCTCAGCAGGGACAGCACAAAGCCTTTTCCACGTGCCTCCCTCACCTGGCCGTGGTCTCCCTGTTCATTTGCACTGCAGCATTTGCCCACCTGAAACCCTTTTCTAACTCCTCCCCATCCCTGGATCTGGTGGTATCAGTTCTGTACTCGGTGGTGCCTCCAGCCCTGAACCCCCTCATCTACAGCCTGAGGAACCAGGAGCTCCAGCAGGCTCTGAGGAAACTGATATCTGGACCCTTTTCAGGAGCAAGAAACCGCCTTTTCTCTTTGGCAAATCAGTCATAATCTACTCAGTCACTACAGGCCCAGTCCACCTTCTTAGGTTTTTGGTGATGGTTATGGTTTTCTTTATTTTTTTTTTCTTTTTTTCATGTGCTTATGTTGTGCACAAATAAATTATATCATTCATCTCTTTTGCAATCTGGCTGAATTTGATCTCTGTTGAATTTGACTGATGAGATCTGGGCCCCTGTGGGACCTTCAGAGGACTTTGGTGTGGTTCAGGTTTTGCTTGTTGGTTACAGCACCCATGCAGACGGTGAATGGTCTGTGATTAACCTTCCCAGGGCTGCACAACACGTGGCAGGGCCGGTGGCAGGTGAATGATTTAATGATTTTCTGGAGGGATTTGGGCACTGCCTGGAGAGCAGAGGGAATCTGCAGGGACAGCATTTGCCAGGGATCAGCAATAACTGGAGCCTGGTATACACAAATCTGCCCAGCTCAGGCATCCCCTGACTCACTTCCTACAGGAGGGCTCAAGAAAGGGATGCCTGCACATGTTAAAAAGAATGGCAAAACCTCATTTCTGTAAGGGGCTGCTCCAGGTGTGATGGTTTTGGTTAACCCCAAAAGGCAGCAGATCCCCCTGCCTTGTGCTCTCTTCTTCCTCTCATTCTCCTCTTGCATGGTTTACCCCAGCTCCAGACCATCCAAGCACCAGCAGAAATGTGGGATCTAAGGGCTGATGAACTTCTTTGTTCTCTTTTTCTCTTTTCTGCCTTTATTTCTCTCCCCCCTTGCTTTGCCAGCACAAAGCACAGCTATCCTATTCTACCCCATGCTCAGTGCTGGGGTTTGTTGCAGGAGTGCAGAGCTTGTGGAATTGTGTTGTGCCTTGTGAGTCAGCACCTGGGAGAACTTTGCTGTGGGAGTTGAGAGCTTGTTGCAGTGCAGGGTACAAAATTAAGGGCTTGTCAGTCACCACTTGTGGAAGTCTATTGGAAAGTCTAAGGGATTGTTGGTCAACAACTTTTGAGTCTGAATATCGGGCTGGTTGCCCGAGTTAAGGCGACAATAAAAGCACAAGAGATCCCTGACTCGTGTCCACAGTCTCTGTTCAGCCTGATGAGAATTTACATTAAATATCATTGATGTTCATTGTTTATTGATGGGTGACAGACACTTTCTTCCCTTTCACTTAACCCTTCTACTGAGACCCCACTACCATGTACTTAGAGAGTAGGTCAGGCACTGACATCCCAATTTCCACACCAAGTGTGTGATTTGCTAATGACACTTTCTGAGTTTTTGCAGACCCTCTGACTTTTGCCTTTCCTTTTGGCCACGAGCATTTCAGAATTTTGGGTACCCTGGTGGGAAAGCTGCTGCCATGGGGGTCCTTCCCAGGAACCACATCAAATTACCCTGGGTGTCTCTCCCAGCTGGTGATCACCCCAGTGTGGCCATGGTGGCACTGCTGGTCCCCATGCACGGGTTACCTGGGTGAGGGAACCCAGGTGTGACAGGAACTGGCACCAGGTGGCACTTGGGCTCTGAGGACAGGGCTGGGAAGGGCAGGGACGGAGCTGCACTGGCCCACAGAGTGACCACCCACGTCCCACAGGAGCCCTGGCACACCTGGAGGAACCAGAGAGCTGCCAGGCCCAGAACCAAACATTCCCCCACCTTCTGGGTGGGGTCAGCACCGTGGAGGTGCCTGGGCCTCTCCAAGGGGATCCCCACACGCTCCCTGATGAGCAAAAGGTGCCCAAGAGCAGCTGAAAGGGATCCATGGGGAGGGGCTGTGCTGGAAGGGGCTGCTCAGGCTGATTCCAGCCAGTCTGGGGCATGGGCATCTCCATGGCAACTGCCAGGGCTGTGGGATGGGGGGCCTCAGGGTGCCCAGGGGCCACTGTGACACTGAGGGGCCTCCTGGAACTGAGGGGACATTGTGACACTGCAGGGCCTCAGGGAACCAAGGGGACATTGTGACACTGAGGGGCATCATCTTTGTCAATGATCTGCACAAGGGGATCGGTGCAGCCTCAGTCAGTTCACAGGTGACACCAAGCTGGGTGGGCTCTGCTCCTCCAGGCCTGCAGAGCGTCCTCTTTCCCTGCAAAAAAAGTCATCTTGGGCATCCTTACTGGAGCAGTCTGGGGCTGCTGCTACCTGGGATCTCATCTCCACTGAAGAGACTCCAGGAAAAGCCTGGGAAGAGTCTCAGTTAGATCCTGGAAAATGCAGGTTTCCTGAAAAAGAAAAACATTATGGGCAACTTCCCCGGATCAGCCTGGGCTGCATTTCAGTGCTGAGAGTCCATTTTTCCACCTGTAATCGGTGCCTCTGAGTTCCTGCTTCACCAGCCTCCCCAGGGACAAACTCTGTGCTCATTCCCTCCAAGGTGTCTCTCAGGGATGGCCTCAGTGGGGCTTGCTGACATCCTCTGGAAGTTGGAGGTTCACTGATGAATTTTACTTCTCTAAGAGGCTTCTTCAGCCTTCAGATCTTCAGTTCAGGAACTCGGTGCCAGAGGGCTCATTACACACAAAACACACTAATGACACAAGCCTCTGGGAATAATTTACTTTTAAGTCTTCAATTCTTTTGTGGTTAATTAGACAGATTTCAGAAGAGTGTTCCCAGTGAATGTATTTTATTAAAAAAACAGTAAGAGGCTATTTTTTATCCTGTTTTCTTTTTTACTATTTATAGATTGATATCAGTGATCTCTAATTTATTTTGATCCTGTGCAACTCATAATGCAGTTTGGATTGATATGAAAATCAAGACCCTTTATGTCTGACTATCAGTCAGACTTTGTCCATATCCCCACCCCAACATTTCCCTCATCAGACCCCTGGGACTCAAAGCAGCCTCCTGCAAATCTGAGCTTCCACACTAAAGGTTGTCCTTGCAGGTTTCAGCTGGTCGGCATCAACTCCCACCTGCTTGGCTTGGAGAAAGAGCTGCAGGAGACACAGAGGGATGTTCATTTATTACCAGCAAACGAAACCAGAGGAAGGCACAGCTCAATAAAAATCAAAACTCCTTCCTCTGCTGTATATTAAGTCCACACTGCCTCTGCTAAAGTCCACTCTCAGCAGTCTTAGACCAATGGCAAACACCTTCTGTGTCAGGCACATATTCCAAGATCCCCCAAACACTCCCTGCCCCGGATTCTGTCCATATTTGCCCTTTGCACACAGCGAGTCACACACTGAAGTCACAAGTTCCCTCACTCCACAGAGGCAGGAAAAGAGAGAGAGTGAATGAAATGCTCTATTTTGCAGAGCTAAATCTGAACTAATGCCAACATTCTGGGCTTACAGGACCTTTATCAAACACATCCTGCAGCATCTGTTCACTGGGGAAACATCTGTGTGGATGGGCAGGCCCAAGGAGTGGTGGGGAATGGAGTTCCATCCAGGGGTGTTCCCAGGGCTCAGCACTGGGCTCAGGGCAGTTCAGTGTCTTTATCAATGATCTGCACAAGGGGATCAGTGCAGCCTCAGTCAGTTCACAGGTGACACCAAGCTGGGTGGGAGTGTTGATGTGCTGGAGGGCAGGAAGGCTCTGCAGAGGGATCTGGACAGGCTGCATCGATGGGCCCAGGACACTTGGAGGAGGGTCAACAAGGCCAAGTGCTGGGTCCTGCCCTGGGCTCACAACCACCCCAAATCCCTGGCCATGGCCTGCAACTGGTCCCCACAGCCTGTCCTGTGTCCTGAATCCCTCCATTTCCAAGGACTTGGTGGGACAAGGGAGCTCTGTGCTCTGGGTGTGAGGAGGTCCAAGTGCCACTGGAGTGGGAACCACAACTCATCAGGTTTGTGTTCTCTGGGAGTTCTGGAACTGGTCAGGCTCCAGTCTATGCCATGGCCAGATTGAGTCTCCTGAAGGGAAAAAACCACTGGTGTTTGCCCTTCTGGCCTTTCATGAGGTTGCTGCCAAGATGTGCTCTTGTCCTCCTTGAAGCCCTTCCCTGAAGGGGAAGCACAGAGGCCCGAGAGACCTTTCCAGTTAAGACTCAGGCAAAGAAGCCACTGAGTCCCTCAGCCCCAGCATCAGTGTGTGCTGCTATTAAATTCCCTTCTCCATTCCTCAGCATTTTCCTGCATTTTCCTCCTTCAGCCTTGGTCTCCAAGGCTGGAGACCAAGATCATTCAAGAGTGATTAAAGCTCTTGACTGTCCTTGAAGCCACCAAATCCAGGTGAGCTTTGCCTTTGCCACAGGACTGGAGCACTCAGAGTGGGGAATGGCCCCTCTGACGTGATGCCCAGGGCAGTCCTTGGTGCTTTGTGACCCCATGGCTGTCCCAGTTAGAACAGCTGGGACCAGTTCATGCGTGGGTGTGACCCAAACTGTGTATTCTACACCCTCTGTGTCATTTCCCAGGACCTGTTAACAATGGACCATCTGCAGCAGCTGCCCAGAGCACACCTGACCCCTCAGGCTGCCAGCTGGGTGTTCAGAGGCCTGTGAGACAGGAGGATGTTCCTGTCCTCACACCCAGGACTCACAATCACCCACCCTGGGAGAGGTGCTGGGCATTCCTGCCTGAACTTGAGTGTAGATAATCTTGGGACTTCTGGTACCACTTGTGGGATCCAGAGGAGGACCAGAACCTCAACCAGACAGTGACCATTGCTCTCACCAACAGATTTTCCCTCTCCTTTTACATTTGCACTCGGGGCCCACGTGGGGCTCAGCATGGGGGCCAAGGAACCCCATTCTGTTTGTGCCCCAGGGTGCTGGGTTATACACCTGGGTTTTTGTGGGTTAAAACCAACTGTTTGTCTGTATAATTGTATTTATTGTGTTATTTTTATTAAATTGTAACTCTGACTTAGGATCTCTTTTTGAGTTGGGTTCATTTCTCCTGGTTTACCTTTAAACCAGCACAATGGCCTTCCTATCTGACAGCTCCTGGAGTGGCTGTGCCACCCTGGGGCTCCACAGACAGCCCTGCTCCAGGCTCTGCTGGGCTCTGAGCCAGGAGAGAAGCTGGGCATGGCCCTGGAACAGGCCCTGAGCCCGGGAGGTGAGCACAGCAAAACTCACTTGTAACCTTAGGCTGAGCTGGGAATGGCTGGGGAGCGAGATTTGGGTGTGACAAATATTCTGGGCCACCCTCCTGGTCTGTCCAGGCCACCAAGGACACAGATCAGCCTCCTCTCTCTGGCACTTGCATGTTTTCAATCCCTTGCACAAACCCTGTGGTGTGAGTGCTCACTGTTCTGCTCACACACTGTGGAATACACACTGATGGATTTCTCTCCCAGGTTCTTTCCATCTCTTTTCAAGCTCTCCCACCTCCCTTGAGCATTTTCCACCACCAGCCTTCTCTCCCCAGCACAGCCCAGTTGGATTGGCCCCACAGTGGCATCACAGCCCCAGTGCAGGCACAGCTGGAGCTCAGAGAAGGTTCAGCCCTACTGATGGGTGAATGTGCTGGGCAAAAGGAGGAGGAGGAGGCTCTCTGTGTTCCCTGCTCTCCTCTCCAGGAGATCCTGAGAGCTCTGCAGTCCCTCCCTCCCATCCAGTCTCCCCAGGCCAACACAAAAACTTCTGGTTTTCAGGAGCTCTTTCTGCTTCAGGCACAGGGCCCGCCCCAAAGCTGGGGCAGCCAAAAAGCTGTTCTCATTTCCCCTTCATTCCTCCTCTGCTGAGGATGGATCTCAGAAAAAAGCCACAATTTCTTAAGGTTTGTTTATTGCATTTGTGTCACACAAGTTGAAAGGACATGTAACTAAGAGGGAATAAACTCTAGGATTTCTTTGAAGAAAATGGCATCAGAAGTAAGGAAGAGAAAAGGAATGTAAAAAAAGACAGATTTGACCTGTCATGACATGCACTGGGAGCCACTGTCAGAGGGAAACAGACAGTCAGTGGCTGCTGGAAAGCATCACCCAGTCATCAGTTTCCCCAGGGCATCCTTGAACTCCTTGTTCCTCAGGCTGTAGATGAGGGGGTTCAGGGCTGGAGGCACCACCGAGTACAGAACTGATACCATGAGATCCAGGGATGGGGAGGAGATGGAGGGGGGCTTCAGGTAGGCAAATGTGCCAGTGCTGACAAAGATAGAGACCACAGCCAGGTGAGGGAGGCACGTGGAAAAGGCTTTGTGCCGTCCCTGCTGAGAGGGGATCCTCAGCACAGCCCTGAAGATCTGCACATAGGAGAAAACAATGAGAATGAAACATCCAAACCCTAAACAGGTAGTAACCCCAAGAAGACCAATTTCCCTGAAGTAGGAGTGTGAACAGGAGAGCTTGACAATCTGAGGAACCTCACAGAAGAACTGCTGGAGGGCATTGCCCTGGCACAGGGGCAGGGAAAATGTATTGGCTGTGTGCAGCAAAGCATAGAGAAATCCACTGGCCCAGGCAGCTGCTGCCATGTGGGCACAAGCTCTGCTGCCCAGGAGGGTCCCGTAGTGCAGGGGTTTGCAGATGGCAACGTAGCGGTCGTAGCACATGACAGAGAGAAGGGCAAACTCTGCTCCAAGGAAGAAGAACAGCAAAAAGACCTGGGAAACACATCCCGTGTAGGAGATGGTTGTGGTGCCCCAGAGGGAGTTGTGCATGGCTTTGGGCACAGTGGTGCAGATGGAGCCCAGGTCTGTGAGGGAGAGGTGCAGCAGGAAGAAGTCCCTGGGGCTGTGCAGGTGCTGGTCAGAGGCTATGGTGGTGATGATGAGGCTGTTGCCCAGGAGGGCAGCCAGGGAGATGCCCAGGAAGAGCCAGAAGATCAAGAGCTGTAGCTCCCGTGTGTCTGCAAATGCCAGGAGGAGGAATCCGCTGGTGGAGCTGCTGTTGGACATTTCCTGTTTTTTGGTGTAAGGGCCTGCTAAAAAAAATAAAAATAAGATAAAAGCACAGGGAACAACTGAGAGAGAGGCTCCTCTGGCAAAGGCACTCCAGTTTTCATTGGAGTATATAATGGCCAGTCTTCGCGAGCGAAGATCCGGGAAGGTCTTTACACCTTCCAGCCTGCGCATTGGATTTTTTAGGTGAGACACAGTGTGCGCGGAACTGAGCCCACCCTTTAATCCTAAGGTTCATCTGCCGGGGCCAAGCGAGCTTGGACGGTGGCAGTGAGGTCCTTAGGACGTAGGTGGGTTGCCTTTAAGGGCTAACAAGCCCCACCTGCCCGGGAGTGGCCCTGACCGGGAATCGAACCCTGGTCTCCACGGTGATAGCGCGGGATGCATTTCCTTTCTCTTGTTTGTGCTGGGGGGCACTTGCCCCCAGCTCCCTGCCCAGGGCTCTGCTGCCTGGAGCTGTCCCTGCCAGCAGCTGCTTCCCTGGGCCCAGGTTGGGCCTGGCAGTGCTGCCAGAGCCCATCCCAGCCCTGGGGGCTCAGCTCTGCCCTGCACAGCCCTCCCAGCAGCACAGGGCACTGCCCAGGGGCAGCTCTGCCTGGGCAGGCTCTGATGGCAAAGGCAGAGCAGCCCTGAGGAGGCTGCAAAAGCCACACTGATGCTGCCTGTGAGGCACCATGTGCTGCTTCCTGACCCTGCCTGCTTTATTCACCTCTGAGAGAAGACAATTTGGATTTCCAGCATCTCACAGTGAACTGAGAGATGAATCTCAATTGCCCATCCAGGCAACCCAGAAGAGAAGGTGACAAAAGCAGAATTCTGCCCCTTCCTGCAGCCCCTGCCTTGCTGTGCTCCCTGAACCATCCCCTTGGAAATGTCCTGCAGTTCATGGAGCTGGGATGGAGCCACACCCTGAGCGATGCAGCATCCCCTGCAAGGCAAGAACACTTCCAAGACTTTTAGGCTGCCTCCTTCCCCATGGAGCTTCTGTCCCTGCAGCCCTGGGAGCGTCTCCTCAGGCCGGCTGAGCTGCCCCTGGCAGGCAGCAGAGTGTGCCCAGCACAGCGCCCTGGGCTGCAGGACCCTGCTCTGCCCCACAGCCCTGGGCACCCCTGGCTGCCCCCCCGGCTTCACAGCTCTTCCAAAGTGCCCCAAAACAGCCCCCTCCTCACAGGTCCTGTGAGCTGTGGCTGTTGCAGCTTGAGGAGAAGCCTCCAGGAACTCCTCCAGCACTTCCTGAGCACAGCAAGCCCTGCACCCACACACTTACTGTGGCCAGCACTGCCAAGATTTCTCCTGCAGGGAGCTCTCAGTCATCCTGCCAGTCCTGAACACCTTTAGGCTCTGGCTGTGCCCTGCTGGTGTCCCTGAGCTGGCCTGGCAGTGCCCTCAGCCCTGCTGGGCTGTGCAGAGGAGCTGCTCCTGGGCAGAGCTGTCTCTTCGAAGCTGTTCTTGGTTTGCAGGAGCTCCCTGTGTGCCAGGAGCCCTCCCAGCTCAGCAGCACAGCAACAGCCCCAGGCATTTCATCACCCTCAGGTGGGTTGGTGCTGAGTCCCTGAACCTCAGACCTTGGGGAAGGCAGGAGAAACCTCTGGAGAAGCCAAAGTCAGACTGAAATGATAAAGTTTTTTGTAGTTCTAATGGGTCTCACTGAGGACCCTCCTGAGAAAATAACCCCAGGAGCTTGTTAGAGCAAAACCCTGGAGGCAGGGATGGCACATCACGAAATCAAACAATTAACAAGGTTGGAAGAGACCTTCAGGATCATCTAGTCCAAGTGTAAACCCAGTACAACAATAATCACCCTGTGACATACTCAGGCATGGACCCCATGTGGTATAATGGAATGATTTATTGCAGTTATTTCATGGTTAACGTACCCTGTTACATCAACAGTAAATTCCTGTCAGTAACTTTTCTCCATATCTACTTTTTAGTTAAGCATTCACTGCCCATGAGAAAAATACTCCCAAGCAATTTTCCACACACAAAGATGCATCTCACCACATCTGTATTTATCTTGCCAAGTTCCACTTCTAATTTTCTCCCATGGTCATATAATCTCAATTCCCTTCACCTCTCCCTTTTTTATTTTCTAAGGCACTTAAATTTAAAGATGCAGAGACTTGTACCACCAAGGCTTGATGTGTTGCCTTTTGTATCACAGATTGTACAATCCCAATCAAGCGTGGTGAACAATCATCCCCAGTAGACCCAACACTATAACCAAGCCACACATCAGAATCTTTTCCACCCATCTTTGCCCTAATCCCAAAGCCCAATCCTGTCCTTCAAAGGGTTTCCATCCATCGTTCACCATCAGCTTCTTCCTTAGGTCCTGTAACTGCTGAAAGCTTCTGTGAATGGAGGTTGATTTGTCACTCAAATTCATGCAACACATTCCATCAAATCCTATTAGCACCCATGTCCCTGTGCTAAAAGCAAACAGTCAATAGCAGCTCTGTTTTGCAAAGTATCACATCTCACTGATTGAACATTGGTCAATTAATCTGCAGTAGCCTGACCAGTAGCACTTGCCTGTTTTGCTAACCAACATTCTAATTCATTTAATGTAGCTAAAGCTTTTGCAGCTGCCTCCCCAGGTGCTGGGAAAGAGACAGCAATTCTTGTCCCCTGATTCCAAAATGTCATCCCCACACTCACTAGTGAAGGTGTGTCCATGTCTCCTGTATCCATCAGGGTGTTTTAGGATCAGGGCTGTATTAGGAGCGAACAAGGTTAATTTTCCTCCTGTACAAGGTCCTCTGATAATTCTTGCTGGTATGGAGAGCCAGGCTCCATCTCCAGAGATATATCCAGCAGATTGTGGGGTGGCAATTCCTGTCTCCTTGAAGATCTGTGACCATGAGGCTTCCTCCAAGGAGAGGAGCCCCTGGTATGGTCCTACCCTGAGGTGAAGCCTCCAGGACACAACACGGGACACACCATAAGGAACTTCCAGATGTGACAGACAACGTTGTGAAGAGGGAGCAGCAGCACAGGCAGCACCTGGATGTGTCCAGCCTGGATCTCCCACCTTGCTGAAGAGCTGAGCTAAGAAAAGCAGCCAAACTGCACAGAGAACTGGAGGGGAGCACTGGGGACCTGCTGGGCACCCAAGTCCTGCAAGGGCAGCAGTGCCAGGGGAACTCATCATGATGGGGCCTCAATGACCCAGGCAATGGCAGTGCAACCACCACATGAGGTTACAAAGGCAGGCTACCTGAGAACTTGGAGGGGAAAAGTTATCCCTGAGAATCGTGAGCTGGTGAGAGGAGTGGGGCGGAGAAAAAGAGGGATCCAGGTGGACTGGCATAAATAAATCTGTGGAGGGGGATTTTAGGGGGATTCCTTAGAACAGCTGCACGTGGCTAAGGGGTGTTTCAGCACTGGTCTGTCTGAGCTCTGTGCCTGAAAACTGTGGTCACTCCTGCCTTCTTCTAAACTCCTCTCCCAGCTCTTTGCCGTGCCAGTGTGTCACTCCTCTGTCCATCTGGGGTCAATGGACACACGTGCTTTGCTGACCAGCTCCAAGTGGGGCTGGCTGGAGGAGGAGGACACCAGGGTCTGAGGAATGCAGGGCTGGAGCTGCCACTTTGGCAACAGCCCCAAGTCTGGGCAGGGCACCTGGGCACACCCAAACCCCCTGCCCACCCTGCACAGACCCCGTGTGTGTGTTTGTGGGTGCCTGTGGGTGTTGTGCTGCAGGAGACACCCGGAGCACTTTTGACCTGCACAGCATATTAGGCCAAGGAGGGGATGAGGATGGGGCCAGTTGTGGTGTTCGTGGTTGTTGTGCAGGTGTGTGGTGGCTGCAAATCTCCTTTCCCTGTTGGAGCTGGTCTGGGCCTGGTCAGCTGTGACACTTTGTGTTTGGTTGCAGATGTTGGGATTTAGTGCTTTCCCTCTTGGGGTCTCCACCTTGGGTGATCTCTTCATTTGTGGAGCTCCCTCCCAGTGACTCCTCACCCCAGGCAAACGCAGGCCCTGGAGAACATCTGGGGTGTCCAGAGAACTCCAGTTCTTTTTTCCAGCAGGACATTCTCTGCCCTGCCTGATGTGGCACAACCATTTGTAATTACCTCAGTCATCTTCCACCATCTCCACTGTCACCACACAACAGTGGGGGCATCCAAACTTGAACCCTTAACTTCAAGCAACAACCAGTATGACCATGAACTTTCCTTGCCAAACTCCTTGAAGCTTCAGTCCCTTTTTTGGGGGGACATTCTTTGGGTTTATGGTAACAAAAGCTGGGAAAAAGAGCCAAAACTTCAGTCAGTGATTTAGGGAGATCCCACTTTATTACACAGATGCTACGACAGCACCAGTTCTGTCCCACTGTTAGACACACTTTCATACAGGCTCCAGGCAAGATGAAAGAAATCTTACCTTCAGGTAAGAACTTAATAACCACAATTACAATAAAAAAGAAGTATTTTGGTAAAAAAAACCCAACATAACCAAAACAGAAAAACCCAACCAACCCAAACAAGCCAAAGGTCTGCATTGCAATGTTATCGATAATATGAGAGGTTAACTGGTAAAAGAGGTGAGAATTTTACAGCTATTGGAAAATGTCCGTGAAATCAGTTTCCTGATGGCCTCCTTGAGCTCCTGGTTCCTCAGGCTGTAGATGAGGGGGTTCAGGGCTGGAGGCACCACCGAGTACAGAACTGCTACCACCAGGTCCAGGGATGGGGAGGAGATGGAGGGGGGCTTCAGGTAGGCAAACATGAGAGTGCTGATAAACAGGGAGACCACGGCCAGGTGAGGGAGGCACGTGGAAAAGGCTTTGTGCCGTCCCTGCTGAGAGGGGATCCTCAGCACAGCCCTGAAGATCTGCACATAGGAGAAAACTATGAAAATGAAACAACCAAATGATAAGGAAAGACTGAAAGAAATAAGCCCAAATTCCCTAAGATAGTCTGAGTCTGAGCAGATGAGCTTGAGGATCTGGGGAACTTCACAGAAGAACTGGCCCAGGGCATTGCCCTGGCACAGGGGCAGGGAAAATGTATTGGCTGTGTGCAGCAGAGCATTGAGAAACCCAGTGGCCCAGGCAGCTGCTGCCATGTGGGCACAAGCTCTGCTGCCCAGGAGGGTCCCGTAGTGCAGGGGTTTGCAGATGGCAACGTAGCGGTCGTAGCACATGATGGTGAGGAGACAATACTCTGCACATGCAAACCAAAAAAAGGTAAAAACTTGTCCGGCACATCCTGTGTAGGAGATGGTTGTGGTGCCCCAGAGGGAGTTGTGCATGGCTTTGGGCACAGTGGTGCAGATGGAGCCCAGGTCTGTGAGGGAGAGGTGCAGCAGGAAGAAGTACATGGGGCTGTGCAGGTGCTGATCACAGGCTATGGTGGTGATGATGAGGCCGTTGCCCAGGAGGGCAGCCAGGGAGATGCCCAGGAAGAGCCAGAAGATCAAGAGCAGCAGCTCCTGCCTGTCTGTGAATGCCAGGAGGAGGAATCCACTGGTGGAGCTGCTATTTTCCATGTAATCCCTCTACATTTGAAGTGCTTTGAAGAAAAAAACCCTGTGACAAATAAGAGAGACATCTCTGAGGAAAATCAAAGCCATGTCTCACAGACCACCCCTCTACTGCTTAATACCCCCTTTTCCTCTTTTTGCACTGGTATCTTCAACTCTGTGCCCGGAGCTGAGGTTGGTGCTGGATGAGTGTCCTGTGAGGAGCAGGGCTCTGCCCACTGCTGCTGAGGAGTCAGCAGTGGATTCACGGGAATTTTTTGAGATAGTTGACAGATTTAATGTTTAACATTTTCAAATGAAATTGCTCCAAAGACACAATCATCTGCACCCCCCATGTTAAGAAACGGGAATGACACAAGGCACTTGTTTGGGGGTTTTTTTACAGCTCTCGTTTGTCTACCCTGGGCAGTGTTCTTGAACGTCAGAAACTCCTCAGCATTTCTGTTGCACTCAGAGAGAACAGTGAATCCTGTCAAGTAGGATTGAGGGAAGGGAGCTGCTCTGTCCCTCTGTCTTGTTCCCAGATGCCCCAGGGCTGCACCTTTCTTAAATCAAGGTGACCACACTCCCACGTTACTCTGAAGAGCCACCAGACACTGAGGAGTGCAGGGAGATCCTCTGCAGAGCAGGAAATGTCTCACCCTTCCTCCAGGTCTCAGCATTCCACTTCACATCGGGGACACACAAGGGGCAATTCAGCAACCCAGCAGCATCTCCTGCATCCTCACATTGTCACATTTCTGTGCTTCTTTGGGGGGCTTTCAGAAAACAAAAGCTTGTGTGGGGCAGCCTGGCTGCTTGGAGGGAGTGTTGGCAGCCTGGGAGGACACCCCAAGAAGGATGTCCCATGGATTGCAGCTCAGTAAGGGAAAATTTGCTCATTCCCAAGCAACAAACAAAGCAAAATCTCTGCATCCCACAGGCAAGGGGAAAGCTGGGAAATTTGTTCCCGTGGGCATTCTGGTATCACAGGACCCACAGGATCAGCACTTGACTGTGCAGCTGAAAATCCCAACCCTGAGAAGAATGATAAGAATAGGATAAAAATAACAAGAATAAATAGCATAATAGACAAAAATAGCAAAAAACACAGACAGGTTGAGAAGTGAGATAAAACACAGTGAGGGTGTGTCTGAGGGAGTCAGGGCAGAGGCAGCTGGGCACTCTGAGCAGTGTCCCCCTGACCCAGCTGTGCCACTGCCCAGACACCAACCGTGCTGGGCAGCATTTCCCAGCCCTGTGCTCTGCTCAGGGAGCTGGACCTGGGGCTGCAGAGCTGCCCCACAGCTCTGCTGCAGCTCTGGCTGCTCAGGAGAGGCTTCAGCCCTGGGACCCCCCAGCCTTAGGCAGAGGCTTGGCTGGATGGGGGAGGAGGAGGCAAGGGAGCCTGCTCAGAGGAAGGGCTCTGCCTTGGAGGGGGGCACACAGAGTTTTCTGAATCCTCTCTCCCACAACACTTCTGGCTTTAGTTTCCTCTCATTTTCTGGTCACATCTCTGTTGCCTGGAGAATTTCCTCCTGGGAAGTGTCTTCTCCCTGTCACACCTACAGAGCCCATCATAACATCCCTGCACTCACTGTGGCCCTCCAGAAACCCTCCTGTTGGCAGGGCACTGGCTGGGCACATCTTCCTGTTTGCAGGTGGAAAAGCACAGGGCAGAGAAAGCTGATGGGTCCAGCACAGGGGATGCTGGTGCTGTCTGTAGGCAGAGGAATGGCTGAGGGCACTGTCTAAGGAATCTACCAGGCCTATTGGTCACTTAAATTTCAGTTCAGGTGTCTCACTGATGGTTGAAGCGTGAGAGCCCTTTTTGCATCTTCCACCCAAACTCCCCAAGAGCAGGAAAGTGAAAAGACTGACTGAGCAAGGCTCCTTATTTTCAAAGTAATCCCTGCCATGCCCTTCCCTTTGAAAAGTGCCTTCAACAATGTCCTGGGGTGGTCTGGAGCTGGGAGAAGACCTGACCCACTTGAAATGAGAAGGACTCTCTCCTGCCAGCAGTGGCTTCTTCCCCCGCAAAGCCTCTCCCTGCAGCACCTTGGGCAGGTTGAGTGCTGAGCCTGGAAGGAGACAAAGTCCCTGCTCTGGCTCACGGGTCTCTGCCATGCAGGGACCTCTCCCAAGGACAGCCCTGGCCCCCCCTGGCTGCACCCCCAGTGTCACCCCCTGCAGCCGTGCCCAGGGCAAGGGAGCCCACGCACCCTGAGCCTCTGACAGCCTGTGGGCTGTGCCAGCTCCAGGACACCATTCCAGGCAGCTGCCCTGCCCTGCAGCCTCACACTTACCCTGGGAAGGTCTCGGAACAGTTTGCTCCAAGCGAGCTCTTCTCTGTCTTCCCAGCCCTCTCCTCTCTGTGCCCTCCCTGCTGTGCCCTGGGTGCTGCGGGCAGTGCCCTCGGCCCTGCTGGGCTGTGCAGAGGAGCTGCTCACCAGCACAGCTGTCTCTCTGCAGCACTGCCCGCCTGCCAGGAGCTCCCTCCAGCCCGGGAGCCCGGCCCAGCTCAGCAGCAGAGCCCAAGGCAGCGCTTTCTCCTCTCCCTCGGGGCTCCCTCCAGGTGTCCCTGGGACTCAGGGGAACCTGCTGGGCAAGAGGATGAAGCAATCCCCGGTGTTTCACTCCCTCAGCTGGGGAGAGACACTTGTTTCCAGAAGTGTAAATTCTCCTCTCAGTGTCAGACAGGAAAATGTTTGGCCAGCTGATCTGGGACTTTCCTGTCCCACTCCAGGCACTTTTGCTCAGATTAAAGGGCTGTCTTGGCCAGTGCCCCTTCAGGACTCTGGTCATTTCTTTTTTTTTTTTAACCTTCTCATTCTGTTTTTTCTCTTTTTCTTCTCACAGTTTCTTCCCCTTGACCATCCTTGTATTCTGAGGAACTCTTGGGATTTGGCAAAGATGCCTTTTTGGAGAGGCTGAGGAGCCTGGGCTTCTCTAGCCTGGTGAAGAGGAGGATCATGGCACTGTAGGAGTAGCCTGCAACTTCTTGAGGGGTGGTGTAAGAGATGATGGAGCTTTTCTTGGTACTAGGAAGAGAAGGAAAACTCCACAAAGTTTCAGTAGAAGTTTTGGACTGGAGGTGAAACAGAAATGACAGTCAGAGAGTAGCCTTGTGGTGCAAGAGGTCACCCAGAGAGAACCAGGATCAGCCCATGGCTTTGTACTTCAAGGAAAATCCAGTGAGGGTGGAGGAACATGAGTGAAGATTTAGAACTGCTGGAGTGAGAGCTGGGAGGGAAAGCAAGATCTGTGTCTCCAGCCTGGAGGGAAAGAGGGGCAGGCATGGGACAGTGCAGGACAGCCAGCAGCAGTGAGGGCCAAGGGCTCTGGCAAGGCTAAAGGGCTCAACAGGACTGAGGATTTGTCCCCCTGGCCACGGCAGGGACCACTGCCAATGCCTTCCAGAAGAAACTTCCTTTGGAAGCTCTGGCCTTGTTTCGTCCTCACCCCTGGGGTGAGGCCTGGGGAGGCCAGGAGAGCTCACAGAATTTTCCTGCACTTGCCATTGGTCCCCCTCACATCCCACTGTCCCCAGGAAGAGCCCTGAGCCACGTGTGAGGGACAGGATCTGCATTCCCAGGGCCTGGGGGGTCAGGCCTTGCCCTTTGTGCTTTATCCCACAATCCAAGGGTTTTCTCAGCCCTACAGCCACCTGCACAGTGCCCTGGCCTACCTGCAATCACAGCCTGGATTCAGCAGCTCTAATGAGTCCCTGGGACCCTTTGCCAGTAATGGCCCTCAGAGGGGCCCACTAACGCTTCAAGGTACCTGGAGTTTTGCTTCTGACTCCTGAGACCATTTTTTCAATCTTTTCCAGTATCTGATGTTCATGGACTCAGCACCAAACACAACATGGGGCTCGTTAAGAAAGCCCTAATGAGCCATGTCTCTTCCTGTACTTTTCTTTGAGTCTTCAAGACTTTTAGAGCTAATTAGAGAAGTTTCATCATGCAGAGAGAAGGGTTTTAAAGAGGATGTAATAATTATTTTTATTATTTGAAAGGGTTTTTTTCCTTTCAATTTCAGTTCAGTGAGGAGGTGATGGAAGCATCCTTCAACTGACACTGATCCAGAGGGTCTCCTCAAAAGGTCTGGTCATTTAGGAAGAGTAGCTCTTGAGGTCTGACACTTTGCTCATCACCCTCCTCAACCTCACCATTTCTGTCCCTGGCCAGCTGGGATTTCCATCACTTTTTCCTCACTTAAACTTCTCCACTCAGTCTGCAACTGGGTGTAACAGCCCCACTGCACCATCTCCCACCTCCTCTCCTGAGAGATCTGGCTGCACACAGGCACACAGGGATGTTTCCTGACTGTAAGGAAAGAAAACCAAAGCCCAGGTGACCTGCACTGCGATGCACTGTGTGGTCAGGCAACCATCAATCTAACAAGTCATTGAGGTCAGGTGCCTTAAAAACAGACATGGAGATGCATTTCCAGGGGCTGGTGCCGTGGCAACAGCACTGGGAGCCACTGTTTTGATAAGGTGTCATGGCAACCACCCTTTAATTCCATTGCTGGGGATGGTTGTCGCTGACACTTGCACTGAGGCCAGTGGATTGTGTCAGGTGCCACGGCAACCACCACACGGTTCTGATGCTACGATCGGTTTCCATGGAAACCACCATAACGAGATCCATTACCTGAGTCAGGTGCTGAGGCAGCCACCCAAAGGTCCAGCTGCCAAGGCCAGAAGCGACAGCAACCACCACAAAAACCCCACTGCTGGAGCTGGGCTGCAGAGCAACGTCCGTGGGGAGCGGTTGCTATGGCAACCACAGTTCAAACCTGTTGCCAGGGGCTATGGCCATGGGCACTTGAACCCAAACCTGTTGCCATGGCAACCACCCTAAAGCTCCATTGCTGAGGCCTCTTGTCATGGATACTTCACCTCGAGGTGCTGCTGCGTTCCAGCGCCACGGCCTCCATCACAACAAGCGGTTGCTGCGGTTGGGTGCCACGACAACCTGCACTGGCTCTGGGTGCACAGGTCAGTTGCCATGGCAACCACC